GTCGAAGCCCTAACCGGAACCCAAGGGCAGGGGTTATATTCACTCGGCTAACACAGTCAGTCCCCGAACTCGTAATAGAACTAAAATAAGGAAAGTCGGAATAAAATTATGGCCTAACCCTAATTTTGTACACACAGTACGGGGATACCCCACTTTGTTAATAGATTTTTTTACCAAACAATATCAGCAAAAACAGTAAGCAATGCATGGTTTCAATAATTACCGATGACGTATTTGAGGTCGTTGGAACATCCAGTCAGTCCATGAATAACGTGAACGTGCACAGCGGGAATTGCAAATCAGTTCTGCGACTCGTCGTACGAAATTGTAAATCTTTTTGGCTCCTGTGAAACATTTAAGAACACATTACTTCCATTATTTAAACATGCTTTATATATATTAATCTGAAACGATAAAATGAGTTGATAAATCATCGCACTTGATCAATCAAAGTAACAGAAGCATATCTATATTATAGAGCTGGCAGCGTGCCAATAGTTGCTTATATCTTATATAGGTCACAAGCACTATAGTTACGGGCTCTCAAGTATAGTTCGCGTGAAAACTTGCATTTAATATTTTTTGAAATAATACACGCCATATCACCTTTCCATTCGTAATCGCATTGGTCACCCAGTCTTCATGGCGATGGACAAGTTGTGGTATTCAGCGTCTGATCGGGACGAAGGTTGTTGCTGCGAAGCCTGAGGCGAAAGAAACACTTCCCCCACCCGTACCAGTCGCTTGCAAATTTATTATCCACAATCTGGCTGTTTCTTTAGTAGAATATCAGGAATTGTGTGTTTTGACATTAAATATTATCATAAAGTTTTTTGGGGAATTCAGAGTTCAATCTCTATACATAGAAACATGGGCAGAGTATGTGCACTTTTCGTAGAGTTCAGAGTTCAATCTCTATACATAGAAACATGGGCAGAGTATGTGCACTTTTCGTAGAGTTCAGAGTTCAATCTCTATACATAGAAACATGGGGAGTGGTATGTGCACTTTTCGTAGAGTTCAGAGTTCAATCTCTATACATAGAAACATGGGGAGGGGTATGTGCACTTTTAATAGAGGTCAGAGTTCAATCTCCAATACATACAAACATGCGGAGGGGTATGTTCACTTTTCGTAATGTTCAGAGTGCAATCTCTATACATATAAACATGGGAGTGGTATGTGCACTTTTCGTAGAGTTCAGAGTTCAATCTCTATACATATAAACATGGGGAGTGGTATGTGCACTTTTCGTAGAGTTCAGAGTTCAATCTCTATACATAGAAACATGGGGAGGGGTATGTGCACTTTTAATAGAGGTCAGAGTTCAATCTCCATACATACAAACATGCGGAGGGGTATGTTCACTTTTCGTAGAGTTCAGAGTTCAATCTCTACACATAGAAACATGGGGTGTGGTATGTTCACTTTTCGTAGAGTTCAGAGTTCAATCTCTACACATAGAAACATGGGGTGTGGTATGTTCACTTTTCGTAGAGTTCAGAGTGCAATCTCTATAAATATAAACATTGGGGATCTGCGCACCATCATATAAAATTGACAAGGGATATCATCATAAAGTTTTTTGGGGAATGGAATTCAGAGTTCAATTTATATACATAGAAACTTGAGACATGGGAAGAATCTTTGCACCATCATATAGGAGTATTTGTGTTCCATAACATTATCCGAGCAATTGCATTGTTTGATATTGCATCGCCACATATCTTCTTTGATAGAACCCTTCAATCGTTCGAGATTCGTCTTTGATGATTAATCAATCGAGATTGAGTCCTTAAATGGCTTTCTTCCAACGACGCAGAAAATTCACATTTATGAGAAATTGTTCGACGTCATGAGGTAATTGGTTCCATGTGTGATGTATAATGTTGTGTAGTGAATAAAGTTATTTTTTGATCCATTTCATAATCGAGCAAATAGGTATTTGTAACAGTCAATATCTCAGTTTTGAGTAGTAAAGTTGGCTTTGAACAGTTTTCGATACTATTATTCAGAAATCTCATCATACCGAAAGCACACTCGATATACAAATTTCAATAAATAAATAAAAATCATTTCAGGGTGATCTGAGCCGCGAGAATCCAAATTTGATCATCGAGCAGCGACACCCATAATAAAGTTCAACACGAAAATAATAACAAATAGTAAATGTGTCCATTGGAGTAAAAGTGAACAATGAATCTGAAAATTATGTGATATCAACGATCTTGAAATGTGTGTGCCTCATCCAACATCTGTTGAAGTCCGTCACTCAATTGGTCATCCGGTAACAGGAAGTCTAATTTCTGTTATAAGCAATAAAACTAAGACGAACTTTTATTTGTTAATGGAATCGGCTGAATCCCAAATATATAACATTGCTAATTATAATTACAGAAAGATTTCGGCAATATCAAAAAAAAAATGGTTAGTTTGCCCTTTGTAAATATTAATTGTATAAAATCGACCACGAATTATTACCGTGTGAATCGATACATCAGAATGATGCCGAATATAGGTCCAATTAGCAATTTATACTGATTAATATATAAATTATGTACACGCCCATAAAGAGCGGATCATCAATAAAAATCATTTGATTTCTTAATTTCTACTCGCCGGACTGAGATATTCCCTGCTAAACAATTAATAGCCATCTAAACACTTAGTCTAGATTCGTCTGCCGAACCCCATCTAGTCATTTCTTGCTAACTAACCAATAAATCGACAGAAGAAATTTGTAGTACCACACAAGTGAAGAATCCTCTAGCGAAGTGTCCATCTTCCATCCTTTGTTCTTCACTGATTGCTCTGATTCTACATTAAGTGTTGGTTGTGTTGACCTGGGGTAAAAAATTAGAACATCAAGTATGACATTCGTTTTTTAGACAGAGGGCCGAAAATTTTGCCTATCTAGGGCCATGTAAGTGTGACGTAAAAAGTTACATTTAATGAACAGTTTTTACAGTGGAAAACAATGGGCCTCGTGCCAAAACTGATTTTGATCGCAATTTCAAGAAATCTCCTGGGATATTTTTAACTAAAACATCAAAATTTGGTTTTAGTTTGATTTTGGATGCATCATACTGACCAGGTTTAATTCTGGCCCACGGGCCGTAGTTTGTCCATGTTAGCTTTCAAGTCTAGTTCGCATGAAAACTTGCATTTTAAAAACTTCAAAAATAACTTGCGGTATGTCACCTTTACTGGAAATCGCATGCCAGTCTTCGTAGCGATGGACAAGTTGTAGTCTTCATCCGTCTCCGAAGGTTGTTGCAGCGAAGTCTGTGGCAAAACAAAAAACGACTTTCCCAACCGGAACAGTCGCTTCTAAATATATTATCAAAATTCTTTATACATAGAAACATGGGACATGAGGGGAGGAAATAGAACAAAAGAGTATTTTCAAATTCAAAAGGTGAATATTAAACATGACTGCGCGCTGTAAACTTTGAATGCTGAATGCTGTTGGCTGCGTAAATGTATTTGCAGTTAAATTCAAACCGGTCATTTCATACTATTTGACGTTGATTCGCTAATTAAGCTGAATCAGCCGAATTGAGTTAAGTATCGAAAAATTATTAAAAAAATAATGCTCTTCTTCTTCGGATGATATCTGAAAATATAAAAACAGTGTTAGTTGACGAAATGATAGTTTATACAGAAGCAAATTTTCAAGTAAAGGGGAACACTAAAATATAACACAGAAAACAAAAATGTAATAAATAAAAAGTGTCCTGCAATTGTTTGCACGACACTGCATGTGAATGTCTTGCATTTGAATGCACAACAATATGGTTGATTTTTCCAAACACAATAACCATGAAAAACAAAAATATGTCTTGCATTTTATTGCACGACAGTAGGGTGCATATGAATATGATAACAACTAAGTCTAATATGATAAATGTCTTGCATTCTATCGCACGACATCTCAGTGTATGAACATGGTTTTGCCGCCAAGACAATTAACCACAAAAAAGAAAATATGCACAAGTGTAAAAATATAACCTAGAACTGGATTGGAAGAGAAAGAGTTTTAATCCCCAGACAAGATGCCTGGGAACTGTGACATCATTCATTCTCCTAATGCTCGCCTATCACCGTGATAAAGTAAATTATCAAACCCAGCTTGAAGTCACAAGAGAGGACAACAGTGCGAGTGATAATCACTTCTCACCCTTATACCTGTCTATCCCTAACTAAAAAACTATCTATCCGGCCGTCCCAACCACCCATCTCAACATCCCAGCGAACGATTTTTAACCCTAGTTTGACAAATCTATTTACGCCGACCTGATCTAATATTGCAATGAACGAAGCGTTCCCTACATATTCTAACCTGCCTAAGGTCAGCTTTTTTAACCCAATCTGTATTTATCATGTGCGCGGGCGATTTCACTCTGCTACGTTGAGTGAATCCTGGCTAAATTGTGCAAGCACCAGGGGTTTAGGCTCTCTAGATCGAAGCGCGGGCGTCATCTCCCCCTGCAATCATGAACACGAACCCAAATATTGCAATTTATGAGTTTGTTTTGATTGCCGTACTAAACTATATATGAACTGAAAGCTGACCGGCCTAAAAACCCTAAGTTGCCTGATACCTAGAGGCAACATTTACGAAGAATAGAAGACAACTTTGCATTGGCGCACAGTTGACCTAATCGTAATAAGGAAAATTTCAGTTTTAGATCATTGTTGTCTCGTGGTTTATGGGTTTAACTCCATATTACAATTGTGTGTGCTACAATGCTGAAGTCATCAACTACTATTTGCCCTAGTCTAACTACCTTACCAGAAGCTTAGTGCTACTGGGCTTGGTAATATTGAATATGGGTTAGAAAACCCGTTCAATATTAAACCAAGACTTCACCTCTTTAAGTGCAATAGTGGCCAATGGTTTTCCAATAAATCCGAATATCGGAATAATTCAAACAAATGATTTGAATTTTTTCAAACAATTTCTTTAGAGAAATTTAGGAGAGAGGATCTATTGTACCTTCCGATGTCTTTCGTCTGCTTCGTCTCACAATTTGTGAGACCCTGTACTATGGCCTAACAAGGAAAAAACTTCAAGTCTCATCCAAATATGTGCTCCATGTGACCAATTTAATTTAGGAGACTTTGAAGCTTAATCCCAAAAATAAAAAAATAAACCTAACGCCCTATCTAACTAACAACACATAAATCAGTGCAGTGTTAAGCCTAACCGAAACCCTTCTTTATTAAATTCAGTCGGTCAAAAGAGCAAATTTTGTTTAATTTTAAAGATATCACATTGTTATGATAATTATTGAAAGGTTTCGGCATTATTAAAAGAAAATATGGTTAGTTTTCCCTATTTCAAATATTAATCGTAAGAAATCGTCCACGAAATTATTACTGTGTGGATCGATACATCAGAATGATGTTGAATAAAAGTTCAATCAGTAATTTATACTGATTAATGTATGAATTATGTACACGCCCATAAAGAGCAGATCATATTAAAAATCATTTGAATTCTTAAATTCCTATTACCCGCCGGACTGAGTTGTTCTTCGGTAACCATTCGTAATAAGAGTTATTAAAACACTTAGTTTAGATTCGTCTGTCGAACCCTATCTAGTCATTCCTTGCTGACTAACTAATAAATCGACAGACGAAATTTGTAGTACCACACAAGTGAAGAATCCTCTAGCGAAGCGTAGAGTCCTATCTTCCATCTTCGCGCCCTTTGCTTTTCACCCGATGGCTCTGATTCTACATCAAGCGTTCGTACAACAAACATAAACAACAATCGAAATCGTTCAGTTGGCCTGGGATAAAAAACATGAGAACACTAAGTATGATATTCGGTAATTTATATTTGCTTTTCAGGCTAAAAATCTAAGCGAAGGAGTGTTAGTACAACGAACACAAAACGAAATTAAAAGTTCAGTTGGCCTGAGATGAAAAAAAAAACATGAAAACATTAGGTATAATATTCGGAAATTTGTATTTGTTATTCAGGGTAAAATACCACGCGAAAGTCGTAGGCCTGAGATAAAAAAAAATGAGAACACCAAATATGATAATCGGAAATTTATATTCGTTTTTCAGGGTAAAAATATATTCTGAAAACTGCTGTGCCCTGCCTAGCAAGACGAAAACGAATGAACAAGACCGATTATGGACTTTAGCGACTCATTAAATAGGTATTTTGAAAATCTTCGTTCCGAGAAGCAGTAAATCAAAAATATTGCTCCCACGTTTTAGTAACTTTATCGCATTGAATGAACGGTTATTTGACGCAGTTTAAATTATTAATTGTTGTATATCACCTTAGTTGGTTGATATCGTGGCCGGTCTTCTTGAATAATCGAATAATATTAGGAAATTTTCTTGAACCTGAAAACGACAGTAGAACAATCATTTTACGATTTTTATTTGAATGGAGTGCATTCGTAAACATGTTTTTTATCTCGGCTGTTTGTACATTTTACTAAACGTTTTTTTTTGACCAAACAATAACAGCATAAGCAAATATGTAAAGCGATCTGTAGTTTCAATAATTACCTTTCTCAAACGATGACGTATTTGAGATCTTCGGAACATTCAGTCAGCTCACGATGACGTAAACATGCGATGCAAGACAGGTATTAGAAACCAGTTCTCAAAAGTCGTCGTTCAAATATGTGAATGTTTTTCGGCTCCTGTAAAACATTTAAGCACTCAATTATTACTGTAATTATCAATAATGGAATAATTAAATACTTTTGTTATGGTGCAAAAGATGCCAGATGCCAAAGAACCGTAAACCATTTTCGGAGAAAATTCAAGTTTGCAAATTAATTTATGTATTTTGTAATACAGCTTTGCTAATATATTTTTGTAAGATTTTCTTACTTCACCCGAGAACAGGGAAGCCAATAATGAGACCCATATCGGAACCCGAACTACAGAGCTCGCTGGAGCATTCGACTGCATTCGCCTAAACCTAAACCAACGCGGTCATATCAGCTATGCTACAGGACAAAATAACTAGCACCCACGAAATTCAACCTATATGCCCACAGATGAAAAATTTCAAAAAAAAAAAACATTGAGAACACTGGGTATGATATACGGAATCAGGGTGAAAACCCAAGTCAATCTGGCAACTGCTGTATGAAAAAAAATTGGCACCGCTTAGAAAAACTCTAAAATTAGGCCATGGAAAGAGACAAATATGAACTAAAGCGACTCATATTTATTATTACATGCGTATTTTGGATGCGTATTGGGATTTAGGATTTATATAGTTATCTCGGGGAGAGGAAAGTTGATTAGACGGCTCAATCACACGGTGAACCATGGCCTCTCGTCCAGTTACCAGTCTATGTCGGATTAGTTAGCCACTTATTTGTTTTCAGATGCTGGACTTGATGGTGGTCGAATCCCTAACCAACCAACGATTACGTGAACCACTCTACGAAGTTTATTATATACGGGTATTTATTGTTGTATCTCACCTTAGTTGGTTGATGTCGAGGCCGGTCTTCTTAAACACCCGAACATTATTAAATTGTTTTACCTGTAAATGGCAATAGAACAATCAATTTATGATTTTTATCTGGATGCAATGTATTTGTAAACAAAAATTATCAATCTCGGCTGTGGGTACGCTCTACTAGTCGGAATATTTTGACCAAACAATATTATTATAAGCAGCACATATGTAAGCAATGTATATTTTCAATATTTACCGTTTCCAAGTCGATGACGTATTTGAGATCTTCGGGGCATTCCGACAGCCCGTGAAAACATAGACATGTATGACAGGAATTGCAAATCAGTTCTCAGACTCGCCAGACGAAACTATGAATCATTTTTGCTCCTGTGAACATTGAACAATTTAGTTATTACTGAGTTATTAATCATTTAAATAATCAACTACTGTTTTCATGGCACCTAAGATGCTATTATATTTTTGGTACTCCTGAAGTATGCGTACTAAGATGGCGCACACCGAAACGTAGTATGTGTACCAAGTTAGGGCTCGACCATAATATTTTCCCAATTTTTTCCTATTTTGGTAAGCATACTTTAGGAATAACAATTTTTTTTCGGATTTGCACGTAGGCTTTTCTTATTTTACCCGAGAAACCAATAATAAGACTCATATTGGGACCCGAACTACAGAACCCGCTGGTGCATTCCAGCTCCAAGTACATGAACAAAACAACCGCCACACGTGAAATTCTTGCTTTCGAGATCAGAGCTGGGTTGCATTCCGAATGCGCAGCACGGTGTGTGCACAGTAGAGTAAAATAAACCCATCAAAAAGTACTAACCAGAAAGTTTTTGTTCTGATGCGAAAAAGGCAATTGCATTTTCAATAGTCGACATCTTCAAATACAATAGTTGCAACATGCTTTATATATATTAATCTGAAACAATAAAATGAGTTGATAAATCATCGCATTTGATCAATCAAAGTAACAGAAAGCATATCTATATTGTAGAGCTCACAGCGTTCCAATAGTTGCTTATATTTTATATAAGTCCAGAGTACTAGGGGTACTCCCTTAGTGTGTGTACCAGGATAGGATTAGGCCCTAATTTCATTCCTATTTTCCTCGTTTTAGTTCTATTACGAGTTCGGGGACTATCTGTGTAAGCCAAGTGAATATGCCCCTGCCCATAGGTTCCAGTGCTTTTACACAACTTGATGTAAAGTATGCGAACAAAATTTGTTACCTCCATATTGGTACACACACTTCTGGAGCGCCCAAAAAGTATTTGTCCCCACGTTTTAAAAACTTTGCTGCATCGAATGAATGATTATTGTTGTATCACACTTTAGTCGGTTGATGTCGAGGCCGGTCTTCCGGAAACCTCGAATATTATAAAAAAAAAATTTACCTGTAAATGGCAATATAACAATCATTTATAATTGTTTACAGGGGAGGTACAATTATTTTTATATATTGAATGTTACTGTTTTTCTAAGTGGGCACTTGTTACAAAATTTATTATTATACGAAGGAAATAGTTTTTATTTTCTAAATTTTTAGTTTTAAATTATAAATCATTGACATTAAATCAAAAATTAGTATAACAGTGATACTACAAGCAGTAATAAAAAATAATAAACCTAGTCCTTTTTTAATCTATTATCAGGCATTAAGGAAATTAATTTTTAATCGTTCACTGAATGTTGCAAGTAAATATTCTTTAATCAGCGATTTTCTTTAAGGAGCTATTATTTTTGTTAATGAAAATGAGCATCGAGGCATGAAATAGGTCATTTTTGTAACACTCCTTGTATTCCAAACACGTAGCACAGCGTGCATGTCGTAAGGGAAAATAAACCCATCGAAAATATAAAGTACCAACCTGAAAGTTCTTGTACTGGCACGACTGTGTGAATAACACGATCGCATATTTCATAGTAAAGTTCTTCTGAATACCGACGAGTTTGCAGCATGCTATTTATGCATATATTATGGTATATATATCTGAAACAATAAAATAAACTGATAAATAATCGCACTTCATCAATGAGGTAACAGAAACAGGAAAAAAATATAAACCCAACATGATTCAAACCAGTTTCCCGCAACTTCCCTTCCTCCAGTAAAACTGTAATTTTCATTTTTTGTTTCGTATTCTCCGTCCATTTTTTTATTTACTGGTTGGAAAAAATAAACTTGACTTACTGGACTCCTCGCCGCCGTTGGACGGTTCACGTAACTGCAATGTCCATATATGTTATGACATGAACATAGATAGCAATTACTCTGAAAATACAATGCTCAAATACACGAAGCAGTAGTGAATCTTTCGCAAAATTGGTTCACTGTCCAACAATATCACCAAAATGTGAACACCGAACCAAGGCACGGTGCGCAATTTTTAATATTAACAAAATATCTACCACCCTCTTAATTTCGAAACACCGCCTAAAATAAAAAGCAGGGGAACATACCGATTCAAACAAACATTGTCGAAAAATAGGACCTATACCGGCAACTATATTGTTAGTTGAAAAAAAACGTGCGTGCTTAAAACTCAACTCTGGAAGACTCTTTATGTACTTAATTTTATTACTTTGAAGACTATTCTTCTTCCATAACTTCAGTTTTTATTCAATACTAATCTATTACATGTTCGCGACTGCCACTGTAAACAAAACAGAAACGTAGCATCTTGACATCTTGATGACACGCGAACGGCAAGTTACTAACACGACTCAGGTTGAGGCAGCGTTGATTACCGAGTTGATTACTATACCGCGTTTTGTAAAATTTCGGCTCCACCAATCAACACCCGATTTTGCTTTTTTTGATGACTTTCACTCCGCACGTTTTTTTAGAATTTTTGGTTCAACCAATCAACGCTCGTTCCTACTTTCTCTGATGACTATTACCACGCCCTTTTTCTAGAGTATTCGGGTTTACCAATCAACGCTCGTTTCTACTTATTCTGATGACTTTTAACCCACGCCGTTTTTCTAGAGTTTTCGTTTTTAACAATCACTCTATCCTATTTACTCTGATATTTACTATCCGCGCATTTACTAGAACAGCGGTTATCAAACGGCGGGGCGTGAAGCTAATTAAAAATGAAAATATTTGTTGGAATTGATCTGGAACGCCCTATTTTGGATATTTGCATTCCTTTATTTTGGATATTTACGTTCCATCCACGTATTTTTAACGTGTTCGTTGAAAAAAACATAGCCTATTTTCGTCTTACTATATCTGTTTTTTATAGCTTATTGTTAACTAGTTATTTTTGAGGTGGGGTGAGAGACTTGACGAATTTTTAAAAGAGAACGCGGCCCAAGAAGTCCAAAAGCCATTTTCTAGTTCGGTGTTACGAATCAACGTTCAGTCCTACCAATCAACGCAAAATTTGTAAGAGCGAGACTGGCAAATCCGTGATTGAGAATGGTTAAAAATTAATGTCTCCAAAATCTGCTATTCAAAATTTGTGGAGCACTGGAAAAAACTTGGAACCGAAGCGCGGTCTTACATTGGTTCATACGAACTTGCTATCACGTCATAAGCAAACGGCACTAGATGGGCATTGAAATCCATAGTCATTTTGAGTTCTTCGACGAAAAAAGTCCAATCATCAGCCTTTAGCGAAAGCATCCGATGGTCTCTTTGCACAAAAAAACAATCCATACAGAAATAGATTGAGCAAAAATTCGCTTCTCTCCAAAATAGTAGTTGCCACATTACTCTACGACCCTTTGTTCTTCTAATGAATGAAACAAAACTATGGGAAATAATTATGTGCGATAAGCTGGACTTCTCGTCGCCGTAGGGTGGTTCTTGTAACTGAAATGCCCATATGTTATGACGTGACCTAAGATACCAATTACTCTGAAAATACAATGCTCAAATACACGAGACAGTATTGAATCTTTTGCAATGCTGGTACATTATCTACCAGATCACCAAGATGTGATCATGGAACGGTGGCACGGCTCGCAATTTTTAATTTTTATGACGTCATCCCAAAACTCCAAGTGAAAGATGAAGCTAAAGAGAAAACTGCTATGCAAATAACCGGTTTAGGTCTTGGTTCCAGAAAAAAAATCTGCATGATGAATGTAATAGCGATCCAAATGACTGTTTGGTGTCCAGTGAAATTCACTGGCTTTCCAGTCAGCTGAAGTAAAAACTGCCAAGCAAATAACCGGTGTCAGTCTTTGGTACAGAAAAAAAATTCTGCGTAATTTTGGCTAGAAATTAGATCAATAAGAGGCACTATATGCCCACTTCTTTTAGTATATCAACTTTTGAGCTCCTCTCACTTATTGGGAATTATCACAAACTCAAGCTCGTACTTCATACTACACATGTGATTCAACTCAACAGATGCCTTTACCAAAATACAGCAAAATTGCAGTCAAATTATGTATTGTGAGAATGTTCAAAAAAAAAGATGTGCAGAAAGCATAGAACACAACCAGGCATGGTTGAAGACAAAAAAAAATATAACATAGAAATAAAGACAAAAATATATACGGTAGTTCTTCCAAGTAATAGAATTATTATAACAACGACTTAATTTATTAACTTCAAATGTGGCACAATGGTGATATAACTGATCATACTTAAACTAATGTATTTGTAACAAACTAAATAATACTGAAATAAAGAAATAAGAAACAGAAAAAGGAGTTTTCAGAGTGAAAAAGTCATCACAGATGTAACATGAGTATTGATAAATACTGAGGACGAAAAGAGACACGGCCCACAAAATTTGTAGCTGAAAGAATGTTCAACAGAGGCCTTAAACATGTTTTGTCCAACTGGTGTCGGGAAGTTCTAAATTCCGCTACTGACCCATTTTTGTTCTTTTCAGAAATTACAAATACAAATGACGGAGATTCTAAATTCATAAATTATTATGTTGAAATATAACATTTAGGTGGACGGATTTCTAGGCACAAACTGTGGTTTATTGTGTATGAAACAAGAATTCTGGCTGGTTTTCAAATAGTATACATTGCAATTTTAAAAATAAAATTTTTTTTTTTTTATTAATTTATGCAATTTATTAAGTTTTGCAAAAGCAATAAAGAAATCTTTCCCGATGAAGGCTACATCTTATATTTAGTTAGCCACGCTTTTCAATGATAATGCTTCTTCACGAATTACTGTGTGAAGTGAGTGAGTGAAGTGTACTCCCAATTTCCAACAATTGTTTCAGTTCCAAATTGGACCAGAACCCTGATTTGGAACACTTTGATCGATATAATCGTAGCTTTTTGATCTTTATACAGCGCACGCGAGCTTGCATTCAAGTCATTCAGGCCTTACATGAATATTTGTACTAAAATGCAACAAGAAAAGTGAGATAATAAATTGCTATTTCACTCATTTTTAATAATATGAATTAATAATTTGTATCAATAGCTGTAGTTCCCATGGAAAATCGAGGTACTTGTGATAATCCTTTTGTTCTTAATGATTCCCATCCCAGATTCATTTTCTTTAATGCATCACATTCTTTACATTGACAAACTAGAAATGGTGTCCGAAAATTGTTATTACTGGCATTGTCTTCGCTCTTTGATTTATCGAGTAATTTACAAGCCGATCCGTTTTCCGAGACTTCGCTTTCGCTCGAATCTTCTGAACCACTAGTGCCCTCTACTGGTAGAACTTCAAACTCTTTTTCATAATTGCTTGTGAATCGTTGAACGAAACTTAATATAATACTTCCCGGTATACGTTGATGTCGTCTTATCAATTGTTCTAGTGCATGTCGAGTCTTAAACAAAAAATCATGACATGTATAATTTAAATTTCAAAAGCAACAGCACACTTTTTGACAACATTTGAGCATGGCCGTGCAGTGAGCAGAAAAATCAGTGATTGCAAATATACCGACACCAGCATGAAAAAAAATTTTGTCTCCGACTACGGGTTCAGAAAAATTTTGACTATGACTCACAATCACGACTCTCAATTGTACAAAATTTGGTACTCCCGTAGTATGTGTACCAGGTTAAGCCATAATATTATTTCGATTTTCCTGATTTTAGTTCTATTACAAGTTTGGGGACTGTCTGTGTTAGCCAAGTGAATATACCCCCAGCCTATGAGTTTCCGTCTCTTTACACAACTTGATGTAAAGTTGGCATACAAAATCAGTTACCTCCATATTGGTACACATACTTATGGAGCGCTGCGACACCAGCTCTGATATCCAAAAAATTAAATTTTGATAAAATATCTTTTATGTATGCAAGCCTTTCCTAGAAGACTTTTAATAACAATTTGTAAACTTGTATACTTTCCGAGTTTTTGAAAAAAAATTTTGTCTTCTTTTATCACCATTAGAAGTCTGCAATTCAGACACTGGGAAATTACGAATTTTGTCTTTGTTAAACTACGACTCTGGCTCTCACTCCAATGAAAACTCCCGACTTCACAGCTCTGCTTTCAAGACAGGAACTGTTTACCACAATCTATTTTGCATTTCATGAACTTATCTCAATTTTTACAATCAAATTATGTCATCACAATATTCTATTGTTAGATATGAAGTGTACTTATGGATCGTTTTTCTGAATTGTCGTTCTGAAAATTAATCGCTTTTATCAGAAATTAATAGACCAATTCAATTTCAATTTTCCAGTATTTAAACACGGAAGTACTTTGGTTTTTACCAATATCTCTGAGTTCTATGGAGCTCAATATTCTGCCCCAAAATTGTGCTACAATTTTGCTGTTGCATCTTGTCAGACTAGCCTGCCATCTTTTTGACAAACATGTCCCAAGCTATCGTGATCGAGGTTGGATTTGACACTTTCGAATTATCAGATAGCACCTTTCAATATAGGTAGCATGGCCTACTGTTGTACTGTGTTTTTTAATTTAACCTTACTGGCAATGATCTCGACAGAATTAACTTATCCTTACCTTTGTAGCGACCTCGGCAGGAGGTGTATTGCTGTCGAAATATATAGGTCGTCCAATATGGGTTGTTAATTTCACTGGAAAACCGCCATACAATGGACGTAATGGCCATCTTGTGTATTCGTATAATTTTCGATACCATTCTGGAAAGATATAAGATTTGGATATGGAAGATTATCAGAGAAAAACTCCTATAACAGAAAACTCTATACTAATTTACATTTCTGTAATAGCAAAATATATTTCCCGTATTATAAGAGGTATTTACTCAAAATTTAATTAGGTAGGCACTTATTCCTCAGACAAAATCAGGCTTCCTTCAAAAATTCTTGTAAATACGGACCAAGAATACTCAAATGAATTGAAATAATCAAACGTCACAAATTATTATTATGGTATGCAAATAAGAAAAGCCTACGACACCCGATATTCCCAGCCGCTCACCGAAGCATGTAAATGCACGTCTTTAATAACCTATTCACAACGATTGTTGGCATAGACACAAAGTTACTTCTAATATTCCTATTTTACATTTTAGATTTATCTGGGGAAATCCAAATTCGGCAGTGACAAGGTCAAAAACATTATGGATATTGCACTGAACTAGTAAATAACAAGTGACCTATCACAGAAATTCCTAATCAATTTATTTTTCGCATTTTCCATCCGTTCCAAAATTTAATGTCACAGACAGATTGGCCATGACATGATTGAAAATGGCTCTTTTGAAACAGAAATCAACATGAACTGTATGAACAGAAACCGCCACAGCCTGTGTTATTGGACACAAAATGAACACGTGGATCATTTTGCAAAATGTTGTTGTTGTTAGGGATGTCAAAAAAAAATTGAACAATAACAAGGTGCGAATTTTTATTTTTGATGATGTCATCACACAAAACTTTAAAGTGAAAAACAAATCCCATAGAGCCCACAGATGTTTTTGAAAATAAATAAAAGTAATAGCCTCCTAGCAACAACAGCAATCTTAATTCTTAACCACTGAAAATTTCACAAAGCAATTGGTCTATAATCGAAGGAAAAAGCAATTTTTTCATACCAAGAAGAAAAATACCAACAACAACAACATGATAACAAAACGATCCATAGATACACTTCGTGTATGAAATGTATGGTAAATAACCTTCCACCGCTGAGAAGAGAAGAAACTGATAGTGTTTTTAATACTTTTAATATAACAAACTATGACTATAATAAATAAGTAGCTTACTTTTTCCAGTCTGCATATAACAAAATGCTTCACGCAGGTTCTCCGTAAACATAGGTATGATTGGCTATAACAAAAAGAAAATGATAAATTAGTAAAAAGTCAATGAAAAGTTATATGATTTGAGTTAAGGAATTTTCATGTGCCGCTTAGTCATGCCTTCCATTCCGAACACGGCCGAATACAAGCAGACAAAGCATCCACTGATATTTAACGATATGCAGAAGGGAGTTATCTTATTTGGAAGGTCCATAATCTTTTTGGTCCAACATTTTTATTACACGTTGAAGGAGGTTGGGGGCATGAAATTTGAACTAAGGATATAGTTGAGTAGTGAACTAGCACAATTTTTTATTTTACATGAGAGCGAACACATTTGTCACAATAATCAATACAATTGGCAATGACTTTGTGTGAGTGACATTTACGATATCACACAAAAACCAGTATCGTGAATAGTGACAATTACAAAACTTAATCATAAAGGTGTGAATTATTGCTTTTCAACTGCAATTTATCAGAGTATAGATCGACCGTCAGAGCATCGGTCTATGCCAGTGCTTTCCAACATTTTTCGTTATATACCTCACTTCGCCTATTTTGGAAATATTTGTTCCTCCTTCCTGATGCATAACACTACTTTATTTGTTCAATCGTTAATGAATCCTTTGCTATTATTATTGCTATTACTGTTTTATGTGCGACGCAAGTCACAATCTAGTTTTTGTACAAGTAATCAAAGTAGTTTGTTATGTGTTTATGAATATGCATTATATTAATAAGCAAAACTAAAGAATATTACAACAAATAGGAAGCAAAATTTCTCCCCCAATTAGGGAGGTCACTCCCTGGTATATCTTTTGACATATAGAAACATATTGTGTTTGGAAGGATACTTACCACTCTTGCTTCCAAAGCAGCTTTTGCAAATCCTTGTCGCTCGCCCCAAAGAACGGAATAATTTTCGCTGAAAAGAGCCTCTCTAACACCACCTGGTGCCACAGTAACAATTTCTCCAGCTTTTAAAATTTCTACCATACGATCCCTCGGTCCAGGAAAACATCCCCAAAATTGAAAAAAGTTTTTCAGACCTAAAGAAATGTAAGTTCATTTTATGCATCAAATTATAATATACTCACTTAGACTATCATACAAATATAATAACTGGTATTAAGTTTGTAACAGTCACAAATTTATTTCTCTCTAACTATTCTGAATTGAACTATTATGTAGCAAAATTATGATGCCCAGATCAAATTTACTGAAAAAAAAAACAGAATTTCACGGGGAGTAAGAAAATTGACATCTGACTAAAAACGACACCTGCAAATTTGGGCAAATTTCTTTGTAAGAAATTTTGCCTTCGAAAACCGACACATCACATGCCTTCAATTTACTGCAAATAATGCCTAGCACTCTTAATCGTTTTTTGAGATTTCTGAGACTTTTTTGAGACTTTGAAGAACACAAAATTTTGATTACAGGTACAACTTTCATATAAATAAAACCCAATCAACTACCATACTGCATCCTTCATTTCACACACCTGGAATTTTGAATGCAAAGTTGTCCATTATTCCACACAAGGTTCGATTTTTTTCTATATACACAGTGGCATTCAGGTAATATAGATCAATAGGCAAGGCTCCGTGAAAATAAACAATCATGGCTGCTCCTCTGTTGGGAAGATTCTCAAGCCCTTTCACTTCATAACCTTAGAAAGTATAGGAAATTTCAATTACCACAAAAATCTAATTTAAATAAAAAAAATATTCTTACAATAGGAGTACTATTAATTGGGTTTCTGTGAGACCAACTACTTATAAATACCCAAGTTATTGGCAAAACATGTTTTTTATTGTGTTTGAACACTTAGCACACTGTCCGAGTGATGAATTCTATTTGTCTCGAAGACCCATTACAATAAAAAGTCACATGCAATTACCAAGTATTCGAGATTCGATTCGAAAAATATATTCGATTGAGTATTTAAGGATCAGAAACATCAAGTGTTCGAAATTGCCTAGTAGACCGACTACTTATCCGTTTTATGCAGATGAATAAAATGCAAGAATGCTGTTGCAAGACTTTTTAAATGAATCAATAGTCTTGCTGCATATTGATCTATATATATTTCGGTGATGTTTCTTCTGACCAAAATCAAAAACAAAAAATGTTCGTGTCAGGAAATCTGGCATCAGATAGACAGAACGTTACCCAAATTTTGTAACTTTGTGTGCAGCGAGACTCTTGGATCACCGCAAATTTTGACTTGATTCCAAATCAGGTAAATTAAACAAAATACCTACAAAGGACCATTGACAAAACAAATTATGGTAATTGTTAAATAGTCAATCACTCACAGAAGTATTTGCCAAACATATAAATTAAGTTAACATTCTGCTTATGGTAATATATTCGTATACCTGCAATTTCTCTAAAAAAATAAAAACGACATACAGTAATAAGAATTGCTATGCCATAACGGGATGAAACAAAAATATTGGGCAAATGAATATTTGATCCATATGAGTCAGTAATATTTCACAACATGCATTCATTTTAACGAGGTTATTATATTAATGACAATCTAAATATAAAATAAAAGTTATAACCATCCCAGACAATCAATCCAATTAATTAGCATATATTCAATTTTTCACATTTTGAGGGAATAATTTAGACAAGTTTAATTTCAGAATTTATAATTTTAAGCAATTGAAGTCTCACATTATATTCGTCATAAGGGCGTTAAAAACAATTTCTGCAAATTAAAAAAAAATAGAAATCCAATGAAATCACTGTTCATCCTAATTTTTCCGCATTTCCAAATTCAAACTGATTGAATATGAATTGATTCTACATGCAGTCTACTCAGATTTAGAATTGACTCAATATTCCACAACCAAATATATTATTTTAGGCGCTCCAGAAGTATGTGTACCATTATGGATGAACTAATTTCGTTCGCCTACTTTACATCAAGTTGTGTAAAGGAACTGAAACCTATGGCCTATATCACCTTGGCTAACACAAACAGTCCACGAACTCGCAATAGAACTAGAATAAGGAAAATCGGAATAAAATTATGGCCTAACCTTAACCTGGTACACATACCACGGGAGTACCTTATTTTGGAAAAAAATTAGAAATTACCGGTAGTAGATTACTCAGTTTTAACTGTTAATGCGGAAAAAGAACTCAACGTTCATAAATCTAGTTCGGCAACACCTTGAATTATCTTATTTACACCAAATTTAAGTATCGCTTTGATTGGTGATTAGATAACTTAAATATTTTTTTATCAAGTATTATCTTCTTACCATGCCAAATCCAACCATGGCCACTCCACATAGCAGCAATCATTTTCTTATAACCCTCCCAAACATTATGTTGATGAAAGCCTTCATAAATTGCATGACGTCTGTATAAAAAGTCAGTATAACCATTAGATATGGATTTAATATATCATAAAGCTTTGAAGAATTAGAAGAAAATCACATAGAAGGATGTTTAAAAAGTTTATTACTATAACTGACTAATATTCTAAAACCCAAGGCATAATCTATAGCAAAACAATACAACACAATTGTGGTGGCAGCAAATAGGTGTAATGCATCATTGATAACTAGATCTGTGTGTGAATGGTTATTTGCTCAATACAATTCCCATCCTCAGGGAAAAACAATATCAGTTTTTTCACATACACCCCTGTTTATACTTATGGTATGCCACGGTAGCTTTGACTCTTAAATCAGCTATGACTGATCATAAACCAAAATTAATTTCAGAGAATTTTATAATTTTGAACAATGCAAACCTGTTTAAATTAGCGCAATTCGGAGTCAAGTCATTTTTTTTTACAATATAAAAAATAAGCTCAAAAGTTAAGGAATCCCATAACTCATAGTTTTCATTGAGTTTTGAACTTTTATTATTAATAACATACAAAAGAAACATGTAAACTAATAAGACAAAATACATTTCATCATCATACCTGCGATAGATGTATAGAAGAAGAGCTCCAATATATAAGTACAAAACAACAAATGTAGGCAAGATAATAAATGTGATGACAAATGGAGAAAGAACCACGAGCTTCCAACCTGAAAAAACAAAGCATATAATGGTAATACATAATTGGGTCTTGAAAACGGGTCAGGCAAAACACCACAACAAAAATACTGAAGTACGCCTACTTACACTTAAATTGTGTATTGTACATGGAGAAATAAGGTAACTACAATTTGCTAAAAAACTCATTATATAAAGGCAGGGCATTTCGGATCAGATAGAAAATTATTTGAATCTGTACTTAAAAAAAGTTTCGAATTGTCGCCAATTTTTTTAAAAAACCATATTTTTAAAATACAATTCTGACACATCACATGACTCTTTTTCTTCCTAGTTTATGATGAAACATGATTCTTATTGTGAATGACAATTCAGCGAACTGACTGAGTGATGTATTTCATGTTTTCAGTAATTTATATGCATGGATATGCCATATTACAATAAAAAAACGCATTCAAATATGTCTTTAAAATATGTAATACGAATATTAGAGTATTTGAGATTCGATTCTGAATGAAAGTATTCCAAAATGCCCAGCCCTAGTCATCAATCAATTCATCCCTGCAAACCTATCTAATAATAAATAAATAAACATAATAAAAAACTGATAACCAATGACTAAATGACATGGCTCATATTAATTATGGTAGTCATGCAATATGAACAGGAAGTAAAAGTGACAGCTACAATGTAATTTAATGACATATACATATGTGGCATACAAGCACTCTGTAGAGGGGTTTTTGATATCAGGAGACAGGAGCGCAAATTGATGTACCGGTAATTTCCAAATTCAAATACTAATAATACTCAATGACAATATAGGAATAAAATGTCATTTGAGCAAAGAAAAGTTTTTATTACAATATCGATAAAAACAATTGTGGTATACTGTAATTAATTCTCTCCAAAATCAAATTGCATTATATTTTTAACATTCTGACATACAAAGCAGAATAACTATCTTGCAGTTAAAAAAAAATTCTAAATACCAAAATTTACACCTGTTAACTTCCACAAGGCAAATGGGTACTCCCGAAGTATGTGAACCAAGGGGCGGACACATAGTATGTAGTATGTCTACCAGGTTAGGGTTAGGCCATAATTTCATTTACAAATACTACGGGAGTCACTTGGCTAGTCCCCGAACTCGTAATGGAACTTAAATAAGGAAAATTGGAATAAAATTATGGCCTAACCCTAACCTGGTACACATACTACGTTCCGGTGTCCGCCATCTTTGTTTACATACTTCGCGAGTATGGCAAATATACATAAATATCAACCCTCTACATACCTGGCATATAATAATTCAACAGGTCAATTGCCCAAAACAGGTAATAATCAAGAATTCCTATTAAATGTTGTATCATTGCTGCGATCCATGGAATAAAAAATCCCATCATTTCGTTGTTGTGAGAATGTAATGTTGACATAAAACAGAACTGATGCCATTAGTTTATTGACAAACAAATGATAAGACAACTCGAGGTAATATTTTTTGTTTTTTTAAATTATATACATGATGAACACAATCTGAAATTCAAATACTTTGAATTAGTACCGGTAATCTATATATGGGGGATAGTTGAAAAAGAATAAAATGAAGATGATGTTTTGTTAGAAACTAGCTGTTCTCCAATTTTTTTTCCAGTTCTCGACTTTCACGGCACTGAGATTGCATACTTCAAGTTTACAAAGAATTATCAAGACTTTATTTGACCCAATGAATAAACATTTTCGAAGCAATTATTAAAAAAATTTCATACGTTTGCGTCCTTATGTAATCTATTTCAACTGATACAGAAAAAAGTTATTGCTAGATTGAAACTGATATAATTTTATAAAAAAATCAGTTATCATATTTATTTGTTTTCAACCAATAAAACGTGAAAATGTAAAAACAAGAATATCGGTCAGAGACCGAAGACTTATCGATCGAAAGTTAGGGGATCCCCCAAAACAGCGCTCTTACTCTATAGTGACACCTTGTGTCCCATCACTAATTAATTAATAACTCGCTAATTATACGACATAATTCACCCAAAATCAATAGGCTTCTGGTACGACATATGATGAATGCACATGCAAAATCTGGAGCAGATCCAATCTCGCTTTCGTGAGATATCGCGTGCATTTAACAGACAGACAGACAAACAAACAGACAGTCAAATACCTATCAACATACTTACCGATTAAAATCGATAAGTGATAAACTTATTTTATAAAATTAGTATAATAAAATAAAATTGTATGTATAACACAATAATAAACTTTCACACATATCGCTTTTTTCACGCATCAATGACCAAAAATAAATCGGTGTAAAAGTCATTTTGGCTAACCATGAGTCAAATAAATATAGTTAGTAGTCTGAAAGCACTCTACCTGTACATTACAGTGATTTAATGAATCTTTGATGATTCTAGTCATCAGCGTTCCTATATTTATCACATTTTAAATACAGTATTATTTATGACTTTAATGTCATAGACATAATTACCGTAAATGTTTCCAATTTCCAAGTAGGTGAGAATGTCAACTAATAAATAACAGATCAATATATTGTTTTATAATATATTGTAACCAGGAGCGAATATATATATATATATATATGTATATATATGAACATTTTATTTTAAAGATATCATAAAATTTAACACACTATTCCTAACAATGCCAACCACCCTGGACAAAATAAACTATATATGTAGATTACTAAAACATATCGGGAAGACATGCATGGATATACAATACAGGTGTTCCTAAAGTCAGGTAAAAATTACAATTTTTTTGAAATCAATTCTCAATATATCTTAACCAGGTTTGTTTTACTTCCATCAGTGTTTATATATAAGTTTTCTACTTCATATAATCCACTTTTATATGGCCACCATTAGTTGCACAAAGCACATCAAAGTTTTTTTTTTCTAATTTAATACACGACTTTATGAGTAATAAATTGACCAAAACTTATTAAAATAACTGGTACAAAATAACAGGATATTTTATGCATAACAAATTATAGAGCTAACAAAATAAACAGTCAGGGAATATGTAAATACAGTCGTTGAAGATTTAGTTAGAATCAAATAATCAAAATTAACAATAATGCACTCGTATCTGACCAAAAATATACCTGACTTGGACTATACCTGACTTGGACTATACCTGACAGGTATAAGTAAATCAGTTTGTGAAAAAATGCAGCATACTGGCAGTTATCATTAGAACTTTTTCGTTTATGATATAAGTCTTGCTTAAAAATGCAAGCGTGCAAACAACATGATGGTATCATATTTCAAGCCGTAAACATAAAAAGGAAATCACGATAATTAAAGATATATGACAAGACGACACGTTCAATGAAGTTACAAAACAAAAATCATTCGAAGATTTAAAAAATATAGTGATACTTCATGTCATGGTAACATGCAATGCTATTTTTCTGTATTTAGACACATGTGTTCATATGGATCATTTTTTCACAACTAATTCTTGTTGTTCGAGTGATTGTTGTTATTCGGGTGAAATTCCCTTTCTCTGAAACTAATAGACCAACCGTTTTCAAATTATCAGTGCTCGATAAGTCACCAAAGGCTAATGCTTTTATATTTTTTCAAATTTTTTCCATCGAGTTAGTTCTATGGGACCCAATATTTTACCAAAAATATTGCTGTTGTGTTTTAATTGAAGGGAACACATTTTTATTCTGTCAAGCGTGGCTGCGTTGTCCGTCGACGTTCACGGCAAAGGTGGAGCACTGTGACCTTACTGTACTAGTACCGATGTACGACCTTAATAGCCATATAATTGAGTATTGCTTTCTTGATTTATTATTTTAACCAACGTATATAGCACGAGATTCAATTTAAAAAGCTTGGTTAATGTGATGAATGAAACAAATTCAGTGGGATATTTTGGTCTTGGTTTAAAACTGACTATAACAAAAAAGAATTAAATTAAAGCCTTTATCTCAAACACCCTAACCAGTGGCGAAGCCAGGGGGTGGTTTTGCGGGTCGAACCCCCCCCCCCCCCCCCCCCTTTGAAATGTAAAAAAAATTAAATCCTTTTTCTGTATCATAGATGGCAATTTTCCGTAGCTTGGAATGCTTTTTAGACCCCCAGGACATGCGTATTCCAGCGTTCGATCGGGCCCGCTAGCAGTTTCGATCTAACTTGGCAAAAAAAATATTCAGAACTCTCCCCTTTGAAAATTTCTGGCTATGCCCCTGACACTAACTATAGATTAAAAATAAAACAAGCACAGCATGTCACACAATAATTTATATAGCACATTCCAATCAAAGAATATGCTATTAAAGGTGTACAGCAGTCTCCATAATCACGACATAACTCTGAAGTTGTACGAACCGTATCAAAATATATAATTAGGAAGAAGAGATATTTAATACTGTACTGATCTGTAATTTCAAAATTGACATTATCAATATATTACTGGTGCAGGAGAAATCAACAATATTGATAAACTGCATCGTTAATTTTAAATTACACTTGCTAATTTTGTCAAAATACCGGTATACCGGACCGGACAGATATGAACAATGGCCGTATAAATGATGAAAAAACATGATTTATCTCATTTTTACGCCGTTAAAAAAATCTAAATACAAAAATTAACGATCAATGTTACAATTTTTTTGCCCATTTTTTATGTTATTAATTTTTGATGATACCTTAACTTCCGTACATTCCGACATTATTCAATATATTGGAAAGAAGAGAAATGGATCTAGTAAAAACATCCTGACATCAGTAAAATTGTTCAGAATCCCTCCTTTTTATAAACTTCTAGTGTACTGGTATTGTATGTGTTTATTTTATTGTGTTCTTTGACTGTTTTTGGTGAATGTGCGCTTTTGTCGGTAAGTTATGCCAGCATGCTCGTCCTCCAGGTCCTCTGCATTTTGTTTTTCAGTTTATTATTTTATTTTATGCCAGCTTTATTTTGTTTTGTGAATCAAGAGTTTCGCCAGCACTAGTGTGAAACGCATTGGCCGTACCGTATTTCGCCAGCCTAATTTGACTCACTGAGCCTTTTTCGCCAGCGCTAATAATGTTGAATGTAACCACCACTCTCTGACTCTGTCACTATCAGACTACGGTACCTGTATAACCTTCGCTGGTGCTCACCATTTTATACTATTACAAGACGACCAGCTGAACCAAATCTTCCTAAAACATTCCTTATACAGTTATATGGGTCCACGACGTTTAAAACAGCTAACCCAGAACAGACGACACTGTTGAGCTCCGAAGCAGGAGCGAATAAAAATGATCACAGGTTAACTCGGTTTTCTGACGTAACTATCACGCATCACTGACCACGTGTCACGTGCATAAACAACACAGAACATTCGCTTCTCTCAAAGTGCACTTTGGCTTCGCTGTGCCGCAACGCAGCGGGCGATCGTGCAAACTTCGTGGATGCCTGCGTGTTAATGTCTCTGATTTCCATAGCAAGTTCAAAGGAATACAACAGGAAACGCAGACGCTATGTGCATTTTTAGGCAGACAGACTTGTGTATATTTATCATGGTTTGGAATGACGTGTCTCACGTGATTCCGATGTGAATTGCCAGCAAGTTATCATGCTTTGTTCATGTTTTGAAAAATAATGTGTATGATAAATTTCCATGTTCAGATAACTGTAGGTCGATCCTGACGGATGCATGATGTAATATTTAAATGATAGACTCTATGAGAATAAACATTGAAAAACATATGGTGAAATAATAATTGAATAATGACCAATAAACTGAATCATTCTTTCCACTGCCCTGTTTTCTTTGTCATGTTTGTCTGATTTTGCTCAGTACTGCAGTATTTGGTGACATATTTTTACAGATTTTCATAATGTTAATCACCTGACTAATCAATAACAATGGAATGCTCAACAGTTGATACAACAAAAGCAAGATTCAAAGCATTGCCATTGCAATTCAGATTTCTAAACACAGGAGATATTGAGGAATTAAAACTTTTATGTAAATCATGTTTCCCTCTTGATTATCCACATTACTGGTTCACCCTCATCACATCCGATTGCCGATTTTATTCTCTCGCTGCAATGTTAAATGGAAAAATTGTTGGAATGTTAGTTGCCGAGGTCAAATGCAAATGCCAAGTTCAATATGAACATGACTCGGACATACTGGCATCATCGTTTGGTCCTGACACCCCAGTTGCATATATTCTAAGTCTTGGGGTTCATCCATTGTACAGAAGAAAAGGCATTGCTACTGAACTCTTTCAAAAGCTGATGACTGAAATGTCCACTGGTACTACTCTCGTAAAAGTGAAAGCTATATATCTTCATGTTCTTGCAACAAATTTATCAGCAATACGTTTTTATTTAGGTTTAAATTTTCAACGCTGGCGTTATCTAAAATCATATTATGTTATTGATGGACAATTTTGTGATGGGTTCTCCTATGTTCTGTACACAAATGGTGGACGCCCTCCATGGTCATATAGTGAACTACTTGCCAATACTGCTTCTGCGTTGCAAGATTTACAGCCATGTAAAATAACTGTGAGATTCATGTCATGGATTATAAGCTATTTCACAGCGTTATTGCCAGGATGTCCCAAAGTTGTATCACCAACTTTACATAAAGCAAACTGTAGAGTTTTATAGTACGAATGCATGTAATACACTTCAGAATGCAAAATATGTTGTTCCATCATCCGTATTAATCTATATAATAGTACATTATTCATTTGTGTTGAAATGTTTTAAAAATTATTTATTCTAGGAATTGAGATAATCGCAATTAAAACCTTTTCTATTTTGTTGTAAAATATATATTATCTACCCCGTTTGATTTAATGTGAACATTTACAAAATACAGCCCATCATTGAGTGAGACATTAGATTCTAATATTTTTAATGGATTCAGATTCATCCAATTTTGGTCGTCCAGGAGGAATCATGGCTTCTTCAGTTACCAGTCCATGTCATCTATGGGACTATTTTTTTGTTCCAGATGCATGGGCTCGATGGTAGAGGAAGCCATACCTGGACCACCCTATGGTGGCGAGTCCAAAAATCCTCTCACTAAATCCCCTTGACATCATTGGGACAAAATATGAGCATATCGTTACATCTTAATACAAATGTATAAATATCTTGTCGCAATTAGGGTGAGTCATGCAAGTTAAAAAGCATTTGAATCTAAAGTTGTGAAATTTCTTTTTCTAAATATCCTTGTTTAGATAACGAGCAGCTTCTGTTAAAGGTGATATCATAATACAATGGGACATGATAAAAGACAAGAGTTTGCATGAAATTAACTTTATTTAATCATTTGATATTGCACAATTATATTCTTTAAAGTTTTGAATCTTCGCAGTCCACAGCAATTGCTTCAATCTCAATCTTTGCGTACTTTGGAAGATTTGCCACCTCATAAGCAGCTCTTGCGGGATATGGGGGAGTGAAATCTAGTTAACAAAAGTTAGAAGAATATGAAGTTTTTCACAGTTAATGTAATTGTTACAGTTGTGGTACTTGAACACAAATCTGTACATGTGAAAGAGTCATATATTAGTGGATTTGTGTAATTGTTGGCACACCTTTCAGTTAAAGCTTCAATCATACTCATACATACAAGCGAATAAACTTGCATATAAGTGACCCAGACAGTAGTAAGGACATAAAACAGTGAAGCATTGATGGTTGACATCCGAGAAGCATTTTACAGACCTCCTTGATTGTAAAATAAATTTAGGATTAGAACCAGGAATGACCAAAACCAAATAAGTTACTAGAAATAATTTAAATTCAATTTGATATTTTAAAATATAAAGGAATTGGTCTGATCAGGACAATGACCTCTATAATTATTGATAAAACATGGTTAATTAGACATCTTTCCTTACTCTCACCAATATACAGGGCATTCATAAAGCCCTGGTATAATCAAAATATTGTTATGAGATCAGTTCTCTTCTCAATATATCTTAATCAGTGTTTTTACTTCATTTAGTACACCTTCATATGCCCACCATTCGTGGCACAAAGCACGTCAAATTTCCTTTCACCCAGTTTGGTAAAGACTTTATGAAAACCCTGTACAATAAAAAATTCCTAGCATATTCCACTTACTCACAGAATTGTCAATTATAAATCAATTTGCAATTCAATATTTTTTAAATTATTTTAAAACTTATGAACTTCATTTTCTGACTTACATTTCGCATAGACTGCATTTGCACTTGCAAAATCTTCAATGTCTTTAAGAAGAACCGTTGTCTTGACAACTAGAGGAATAATAACACAGCATAATCAAACAAACTGCACGAAAAAAAGCAATAACTAATGTGATTGTATGCAGTAAGAAATTTTTATCGCAGATCTCAAGTATTCCACAAATATTGGTTTGTTTTTCAATGGATATATTGCAGTGACAGACCTAGCTCTCAGATCAGTTTTCTTCACCATCGATTGAGTATGCGTTACCTTGCTCCAAAAAAATTCTCTTTAATAAAAAATAACTTCTATTGGATTTAGTATCAAGCAAAAATTCAGATGCAAATTGACCATGATGTTATGAAGTTACCATTTTTAAATGTCATCCCAGCTTCTTCCAACACATTCTTCATGTTTTCCATAACCTGTAAATATTTTATATGACAATAAATGAAACTTGAAGAAAATGAAATGTGAAAACAACATTGCTGGTCGACTCACAGTCTAGTTTTGTAACCGCTGGTTAGTTACGACTTCCTCAACCGTCAAGTCTTCGAACAAATAATTGCAAACCAGATGAAAGGCTTTGGTTTGCCATTTGAGACTGTGGGGAAATTTGCAATCGACTCAGGGTTGAGAAAATAGGATTTTGATAACTAAGTAGTGCTAGATCTTTGAATAGTGAAACACTTCCAACTTTAGGCAGTCTAAAAATAAGACCCCATAACCCTAGATTATTCAGCTGACTTAATAGCTTTCTTCTCCTCTAGGATAACTAGAAAAGGCTTGGTGTTAGTTGTGTAAACTTTTAGGCAGAAAATATTACAACTGGAAGTTGTTTATTCACACCACAGTTATCCTCCAGAAGGTTTGGCGGGGTAATTAGCTTATAAGTTTTTAACACTGAACATGAAAAGCCATTGCACAATGTAGGGCTCTAATTTGCGACTATGGAAAATACCGTCAAATCCAAACATATTTGCACAACCGAGTATAAAGATTAGCAATGGCGGGCACTACTTACCTGTTGAGTTTGCGACTCGATGTCAGCGCCAGCAAATTCGCCTGTGGCAGGAACGACTCCTATGTTTCCTGATACATATAATGTTGGTCCCACTTTCACTGCTTGGCTAAAATAATAAATTGTTCACTTTTATATCACAGAAATTCCTAAATAACTAGATATACAGATATTATATATGATTGATTGTCATGATTATCTATCCCAAACTGTAAAACGATAGGCTTTACATACCGTACGTATCCCAGGGTGAGGAAAGCCGTTAAGACGACTTAATCAATGACAAATCACGACCTAGCCAGCTATTCAATTAAAAGAATTCAATTTTATAAGTCTACTTTGTTGCAAAGCAACCATACGTTTCTGGCTAACTGCTGAGTCTGGCATTTGGTATTGGGCTTTGATATGGCAAAGGCCATCTACAGACTCACCTACGAACAAGATAGAACAGTCGAACTAGATAAAAAAAAAAAGCATCTAAAGTAATTGCTACCTGTATGGTCCAATGGGAGACGGAACCTTAGATGATTTTATCACCTGACGAATCAATTTAGAACCAGTTGAAGCCATTCTACTAACTTCTGCTTAGAGACCGTATTTGAAATAATGCAGGTATTTAGTTTCGCAACGTCAAACTGCAGAATTGCAAGGCCTCGTGCACCAGCGGCAATCGAAGGACTCTCGAGCGTAGGCCCCGCCGCTTTTATTGCCCAATGATATTATCGTAAATTATTAAACCGGTTTTATTGAACGAGCTCATGCGTCGAGAGATTATACACCTCAGTGGAGATAAATAACATGAGTGCAAGTTGGAAAGAGTCCAAGAAAACTTGTCAGAAAGAAAAGCTTTGAAAAATACCGGAAGTTTATTCGGTCATTCCCTCCCAGACAAGCGACTCAAAAGCATGGCTGCGTTTCATTCAAACACATTCTCTCGAGTCGATTCATTTTTTTAGGAGTTGGACTCCGCCATGATATACACTTACTGCAAAATCTTGATACAGTCCTCAAATTTAATGAATTACTTTTACATTACAGTACATAGTTTGCCTGATCAAAATACGATGTAATTCTACCAGTGTGTTTAAATCAAAGACGCGGTTTAAACGATGAAGTAGATTTTCTGCCGCTGAGTCTTACTAATTTGATTGAAGAGTCTTGCTGCACATTGACACTAATGTATTTTTAACTAACTATTGTTCTAGTCTGTATTGTTTTCCCAAAATCTGAACTCTAATAAGATAATATTGAACATATTTGTTTAACTGTAGATATGTTTAACTAGGATTTTCCTTCGATTTTATATGACAGTCAAAGGCATTTAATTATATTTGTTACCACTTATTTGCTCTAAATAATATTTTATACAAAAAATTAACATAGCCTAACCAAAAACAGAGACATAAGCACAATATTATAAATTACTGTACCTTAAATTAGGAATTTTTATTTTATTAATGGCCAACATGCCTAGCTTGTAATTTGCCAATTCGACGTCAACAAATTTTGTTTTGATAATCTAATTTTTGCAAGACCTGCAGTCTTTAATTATTCCTTTTGCAAGAAGACTACCTTGACCAATAGTGTACAACCTGCGATCGTCGAAGAAGAATGTGTGCCGAAATGGTGTGTGTTATTTACTTGCGTTGTTTACTTCGCATACATGTCTACGCTCATAACGCGATGTCGCTAAAAGTCATTGAATTCATAAAGAAATGTATGTTTGAGGGTGTTGGCGCTCGGCTGATACCAAACATCAAGAAATAAACTTGGTTCTCATATAAAAACATAATGCGGCCGTCTATAGAAGTTGTACACCCCTGGGGTCGACTGTTCGTTTTTTTTGGTTGAGAAGAGCGGCTTAGATGTAGCATAGATGGTTGTTCGGGACAAAATTGCAACATCTGTTCTACTGAGAATTTCTAACTTATCATATATATCTAATTTACATTGGCTAACAAATAATGAATTTTGTTACAAAGACCCACCTGTACGGACCAATGGGTGTTGAACTACCCTTCGTTCTAATTTCTTTGCGAATGCTCTGGTTTCCGTCCGATGACATCTTGTAGTAAACTGTTACACGCTCGTACAAACTCTTGCAATGAAATGCCTCTCCGACATAATGAGGCGATTGTTTCCAATTCCCAGTCAAGTACCGGATGTTTATTCAAGCAATGCCTACAACAGTTTGTTTCTCTTCGTGGAAACATGCAAAGCATGGAAATGCCGTAGATTCATCCCTTTACGCGGACGACTTAACCCGGCATTCAAAATACGAATTAAACGAGCTACACTCGGATTACAAAAATCTAATACATCATGCATCTTAATTAGAATATCTTTATTAAACAAAAGAAAATGAAAACGAAAATGACTGAATTCCAATGCGTGGTAGTGACTAAATAAAAATGTTCATGTTGTCCGACGTTATGTTTTAAACTCCTTTTACAGCTTCCACATCTGTACGCTGAAAAAAGCTCTCCAAAAATATCTAAAAATTAAAAAAAGCGTAGATGTAATCGTCAGATCGAAAGTTTCAACCGCACAAACATGAAACTACGCACTCAGCATCAAAATCTCTACATTTTAGGGAGAATGTCAACATAGGTACCGCTTTAGCATATTTTGGTATGAATATATTTGGAAACTACACGGCATTCATTTTATCATATATTCTAAAGTGGTGTGCAACCTTTATTACAGGAGTGCCAGATTGAAGTAATTGGGTGAAGCAGCGGGCCGCACCTTTGTTTAAAATGACCTTTCTAGTAGTTTCAGGCACAAGAAAATGTTTATTTTGTTAATGATCTCACGATATATATGTTAGGGGTCCTTGCAGAATTTGTGAATTAAAACGCATAAACTGAAGAAAACTGTTATTGTCACACAATTTAGTGATAACACGTTTATATATATAACATTGTGTTTTTTGCAACAGAATTTTGCTAGCTAGTTTTGCTAAAATGACAGTGCACTCAGGTACTGACTGAGGCTCTGCGGGAGATTGGAATTTCTCGCACGTACCAGCTTAACTAAACTAAAAACTTGTTTCACGGGCCCACCATTCAAAATTGGCACTTCTCCGAGAGCCGCACACTATTTTCTTGCAGGCCCCAGTTTGCACACTCCTGTTCTAAAGTACTGTACATTATAATCTTACCTGTATATATTCAAATGTTGGTCTTAATTCGCTTGCTTTGTCCCAACATTGCAAAAGTAGTTCATAAAGAGCTTCTGGGCAGTGTTCTGGTCGCGGAATCCGGTAGCCACCCTTTATCTTTTCTAGAATTTCATCGCGAGATATATCTGCAAAGATAAGTATATATTATATAGACACATAATTAAAGCACCGTATTTTACGCACAGCCGCACAGAGTCATAAGGCGCACTGACAATAAGTGGTGTAAGAGTGGGTTTTATCATAAATAAGGCGTAACCGGTACTGGTATCGGCTTTGAGTGTAGGCAATACCGAATCTATATACTACGATACGTCAAGGCTACTCAACTGGTCGCGGTCCGAATCCGGACCTTTCGAGTATTAAATTTGGACTGCAGCTGAATCAGGAAGCAATCAAGTAACAACTGAAGTTTTAGTGGCCGTTTTAAAACATTTTTCACAGATTTTCAGACATGATGGTGGAAAAAATTAGCTTGTGTTATGTCGGTTTTTAGTTGTATTTGGGTAATTTAAAAATAGATCTATAACCCGATTTTGCAAAATAGTATACTCTTTCATTCTAGAAACAAGGAATAAATATTTGGTAGAAACGAGGAAATGTAATTTCTCAGACTAACGATTCACAAAGAACTATACTATTTGACACGAAATCGACTAATGAATCGTTTTGCTAGAATTCTTGTGATTTTTCTTAATCTGGACTGGAAAAATCGTTCTTCTCCGCAACTGATAGATATACCAGGTTGTGAGTCTTAAAAATAATTCAAGTCGCTAGAAGACTTTTGAATATATATATTTTTACGGGTGCTATGGGAACGAATATTTCAGATCTTTTCATCAAAGTCGGCGCTTGCGCTCAAAGTGAATCCTTGTCATACCGGCACTGAAGCGCGATATTGAACATTGCTCTTGTACTAGTTAAGATATATTTTTGAAATGACCTGACCCCGGTAATTTCCAAATTTTCTGTATATACGAACCTTCAGTAAAAATAGTTGAGTAGCCCTACACTACGTGATCTACACATTAGGCGCACCGGCTTATAAGATGCACGATCGATTTTCGAAAAAAGGGTATTTAAAGCGCGCCTCATGCTCCGTCAAATATGATGCGCAGAAGTGTTTGAAATACTTTTTGAATTTGAGAATGCGTTGATTAGCTTTCTGTCTTTATAATACAGTTATGTTATAGCCTACATACCCATATTTGGATACGGTTCTTCACCCTGTGTTATAATTTCAATCATCAAAATGCCGAAGCTCCAAACATCAGCTTTTATATCATAGACGCCGGAGTCAATAGATTCAGGAGACAACCAAAGAAAAGCTTCTGAATTGTCGGAGAAATTAGATATAAAATTGGACTTTCCAAAGAATCAACCAAGGTCACGCGATACTGGACGACCATACACATTATACCTTTCTTGGTACCCCCGTATTGTGTGTACCAGGTTACGGTTAGGCCACAACTTTATTCCAATTTTAGTTCTATTACGAGTTCAGGGACTTCCTGTGTCAGCCAAGTGAATATACCACCTGCCCATATAGATTTCAGTCTCTTTACACAACTTGATGTAAAACAGGCGAACAAAATTAGTTACCTCCATACTGGTACACACACTTCTGAAGCTCCTTAATTAATGCAACATCCGAACGCAAAAAGAGGCGCGGGGTTGGACTTATTTTTCAATTCCTGATCTGTTGTACGAACACTCACCTGAATCGGAGTCCTTTGGAGATTCAAGTATTCCGTAATCAGTTACTTTAAAAGCTGGACCATCTTTCACCATAACACTTTGAGCGCGCAAAAGTCTATGGGCAAAGTTGTTCGACTCCAAATAAGCCATGCCACTGGCAATCTAAAACATATCAATAAAATAACAAGAATACAATGCTCAAATATATGGACACGAAAGCCAAACGAAGTAGCAAGAGTATGCAATCTGTCAAAGTAGACTACCGGTACCGCAGTCTTCAAGACTTCACCTGACCACTAACGCGTACATGGAACCGCCACAAGGTGCACAATTTTGATGACGTCATCGCACATACAAAACGTTTTTAAAATAAATTGAAAATTGCCCGAAAGTCAATGAAAAAATTTATTTTCAACAACAAGAAGGGAAAATGGCAAACAAGAGCAACATCATAATAACAAAACGATCCATCTGTACATTTCGTGTCAAATAACTCTTACTTTCATATAAAGCATAGAAATATTCATCATTCGTTAACTGGCGCGTTTTGATTTGCTCTAGAAGGGAAAGTCATTTCCATCAAAACCTATAAATAAAAAGTATTCAGTGACTCAACCTGTGCTGCAATTTCGATTTGATCAGCGAGTAATTTCGCGTTTCCTTCTCGCAAGTATCTCGAAAGGTTGCCAAGATCCATATATTCCCATATGTATGACACTTGTCCGGACCAAACCTAGAGAAATGTTTGAGAAAATACTGCCATTTTTCATATTAACTTTCTACGTTCTCTTGTTTTGGGTGAACCGAGTAGGAAAAAATGTACAAAAAAAATGCAAAAGAATAATACAGCATTATCAATCACATGAAAGCACTATAACAGCCTAATTCATGTAAAAACATGTAACCTTTTTCTAAACGAAGCTACAATAGTCAACCACATGCGGAAATTCAATGTTTCCCCGAGCATCTACTTCCTTATATATTTCCGTAACCCAGTCTAATTAGCACGAAATTGAAATTTTGAGCGGTCTCTCAGACGCTATTTTCACTCGGACAGTTTTATTTGTTATGATTTTAGACGTTGACTTGTTCAACTCTACCGAGAAACGAGGTAAACTAAGCTTCAAAATTACCTGAGAGTACATTTACTTGGCAGCTGGTAGAACATTTTGGAAAAGATGGCAATTTTAAAAATGTATACCAGTCTTCTGCATGCGCTAGCTCGCGAAAATACTCTCAAAATAAACATGAAAAATCTCGCAAAGGTGATTATTAGGAAGAATTTTTCTGGGGTCAAGGGTCGTGGAAACGTCCATTGTAATATTTCTACATAAAGCACTGACTGACATACCATTCCATAATATTTGACAATGCTTTTATGATGCAACGACCTCATAACATCTAAATTTCCAGACGGGGTTTTGTTATTCTTATATTTTTTTACTGTAAGATCCATCTTATCGCCCCACGAAGCTGAAAAACAAAACAAAATAGTCATCTGAAAAAGGGGAGAAAATGCTCTTTGTAATCCCACTTTCAACCCCAATTCTTCGCGGTTTTTTGAGTCAGGATAGATATAATACTTTGGCAGAGTATTCTTATGACGTAAGATTTATACATCTCAATCAATTGTGACAAATGTCGGACAAAACATTTTGAGATAACCCAAAATTTTCAGTATATATGGAAAGTTTGGTTTTTCCCAACCTTATTCTGCTTTATTCTCAAGATCCCTACTTTTGAAATAAAAAAATTCAAAATCCGATCGCGGTTTATTGGAAGTTATTTCGATTCGAGTGCTGGCGCTGAGTGACTATCAAGAATAACTGACGGAACACGATATTTTGCAATGGCAGATCGTACAAACCATTTATAAAAGGCCATCAGCGCATTCTTTTATGTTATAAACATTTTATACAGCATACAATCCATACCTTTATATACGTTTTCGTTGAAACCACCGTCTAATTCTTCCAAAATATTTATATTTGAATCTGTCAGTTCGAAAATGCTGTCTCCGAGTGTAAAGGTTTGCGGTGTTTCTTTTTTCGGACTGCATCTTATAAGTTGGCAGCATAGACCATGAGATGCATCTTAAAATGAAAGATTAGTAAATGAAAAATATATAATTACACGTGTTTTTGAATACGGAGTACATGTAGATCGTTTCGCATAATTTTATGTTGTAGTTTTGAAAAAAAATCGCATTTTGTGCGCAACAAATAATGCATCAATCGATTTAGATTTATCGATAGTTAAAGATAGAAGAAATTAAAAGCTAGAATGCCATTTTTTCTAATTTTATTAGAATCCAATAGGCTCGATATTCCGCCAAAAATTTTGCATTTCCGCCACCACGTGACATCCATCAGGCTAAACCGTCATCTTTTTGACAAACCCCATGCTTAGATAAGGCATTACAGATGGGAATCGATCAAGTATTGGGACTTGATTTATCATTTGTGTTCGAATGATCAGATAGCACGTTCGGAGATAGCAAGTATGCAAAAGTATGTTTTATTCAAAAAATAATTCAAATATAACAAATATTTTCATTTTCAATTAGATTCACGCCCTATTAAAAATTTTCTGCGACCACCGTTTGGGAACCACTGTCAGTCACTTGACACCCGTGTGCATATATCTGAGCACTGCTGTCTTGCAATATTTATAATACGAAACAAAAACTCACCGAAATGAAAAAATAACCCATGTTTCAGAACCACAGAAACATTATAAAATTTTAATTTTCAATAATCTTAGGAATGCAAACGACATACCATGGTAGTAGTTAATAAGCGATATGAGATCGCCGAACTCCAAGTCTTCGGTTATGAAAAACGTGTCGTTTTCGGTTGCGTGTATTCGGTAATGTTTCACGTACATTTCCTTCTGCTCGTCTTCATTTAACAACGATAATGAATATGAATCTGAAATAGTCACGGGGAAAGATAAATGGCTATGGTTTTGCTTTCCACCGTCAGTATACTATATTTATTTTATTTTTTAATATCACTATAATACTTATTCATGAGAACGTAATAAACTACTTAAACTGTATAAAAACGAAAATGCGACTTGTGCATAACACTAATAAATAAATTATTAATGATTGAACAAATAAACTAGTTTTATGCATACGGGGGGAGGGGGGGGGGATATTGTCTGCATATTGTCTGTCAATGTGGATAACGGTGAAAAGTTCTACCTCACGCTCAAAAGTCATAAAACAAGTCATACCGTCATATTAGATATGATTATCTAGTTTTATATTACATACTTTCCGATGTTTCGCTTTCTCGAATAAGAAAACATCCCTTTTTGCCTTCTTTCAGTAATAATCTTTCGGAATCTTTCCTCGTAATTGTTCCAAAATACCACCTGTATCAAGAAATTGATTTTGAAGAACTATGGTATTTGCCGACATATGACAATTCATAGTAAGTATAGAGACTTATTTATTGTAAGAAAAATAGTCCGGTTGAAAATCACAACTCTATTCCTAATTCTGACATTCGCGCGTTCTATTGTATTGGAAACATTGATCATTTCCACACATTCGCAAGATATTATAAGTTATGACATAACGTTTTTCGTTGGTTTCTAGTTGAAGATATTTATACTTTCTTTTGCATAGTCTCGTACTCAGTGAATAAATAAATGAGCAAAGCTCGAATATTTGTTGCCAGAAATTAAAATAAAACAGCAGAATTTGGGGTCAAATATTGGTCACGAGAAAGAAAAAAAATTGAAAAGCAATATCTTGTAACGACTTTTCATCTTCGGGTACTGGAAATTTGAAATTGGCTGATCCAGTATTTCCGTGAAAATCGACCGAGAACAACAACAATTTAGCAAATCGATTCATATACACTTCATTTTTTAATAGATGAAATATTTCTGACGGGGTTTGTGGAATATAAAAATTACATGTTATTTTAGAATTGCGCTGAAATTAACGACTTCAGACTTACTCTTCACTTTGTAGACTTCCTTCAAATGCTACAAAGTTACTCGGTACAGAGCCTTGATGACCTCTAACAGAATGCCTCGCCTGCCACCATCCATGGTCACTGTGACGAAATAATGTAGATAATGCATAAAATTATATTGGAGAATGATTCTTATAAATGAATAAAGTCAAAAAGTTGACACGACAAAATAGAATGTAATAGATGAAGATTTTGGCCAGCTTTCCGGGAGCGCATTGACCTCTTCTGACCCCGGGGTGAAATATCTCATAAAACTTAAACACTCCCAGAAGTTGCATTATATGCCGTGTAGGTGATAAGTAGACTACATAACACCTTTTTATAAGTTACAATAGTTTCATCGCTAATAACAAAATATCTTCCACCCCTAAATTAGAAAACACACCCCTAAAATGAAACGCTTGGGAACATACTGGTGATACTGCCTTTCCAATCTCACAATTCATATATTTATGAAAATTTAACTCACTTTGTTCTTAGAAGTATTAGTTTATCGGACTTTTTGAAACTTATGTCTCCGGCATTTCTGGACGAATAATCGTAAAGAGCAATCAGATTTCGAGGCTCTGAAACAAAAACATAAAATCAGTGTCAAAATCATAATTTTTGCAACCTTACAAATCGTTGCAAATGGAACAATAGAAATGGCGCGAAAGAGCTGGACTTTTTTCATATTTTTAACATGGTGTTATAACGAACGAACATGGCCAATGGCAAACTTCCGTTATTATCATCTTGTATATGTACCTCCCTAGAAACATTTTGTCATTCAGTGGCAACCAATACAATCGAAAAGAATTTTGAATCCCTTGAATCAAACTTATATGTCAGCAAAACTGAATTGTTTTAGCTACTTTTCCTTATAAATACTATTGCAAAAATATGTTATGCTCCCACCTTCTGTTTGTGTCGTTAACGGAATTTCATCGTTTACTTTATTTGCATTTTCGTTTATCCTAGAAAAATGTAATATTAGATGAAAAATTGTTCGGAAAATGAGAAATACACTTATTTTTAGGAAAGTCAAACATACGGCGAAATGTGATATAAATTGCTATATTTCGATATAAAGTTTATAATTTATGGCAAATTCACTACCCCTTTCTAAATAAAATGCTAGTGATGAAAAGTTACAGGCAAGCAGAATACAAAGCTACATAACATTAATTGGTCCGAATTTATTTGATATTTTTAAAGCTTGTATTCCAAAACGCTCGGATGTGTGATAAGAGTTCTTACGTAGTGTAAAATATACTTCGAAATGTTACATAATTTCATTCTAGGCGTAGCGTCTGGTTTTAATTAGTCACAGACTGTAGTTTGGTTGATTAACAAAACGTGAGCTAATGCTCATTTGGATGAAATTCCCAAAGTCGATGGCAGAATTTCCTTATTTCATTTACAAGCGCGATACGGAGATATAGCGTGTTAAATAATGAGGCATATCGTTGTTCCTTGTATGGTAAACAAAGCTCCAAATTAGGTCAGTAAAACTGGCGGCATGCTGGCACGCTTGCGCTTAGCAAAGCGTAAACGAAAGTACAAGAAGATCAATACTCGAACGCCGCTCTTATATTAAAACGTTATGAGTCTCAATAATAATGCAAAGAAATTTGATTAAAAGTACTTACACCACTTGGATCTCTGGTTTTCTTCGTTTTCCTGAGGTATGTTCCCCTGAAATGACCTTGTCAAAACAATTTCCCATGCTCGAAATGCAAGCTCATATATATATATATATATATATATATATCCCTGAAGGGTAAGCGTTGAACTGGTATTATATTTATGTTCGGTATTAGTATTACGTCAACACGCTAATCTGTCGACACTCACTGCAAGATAGAATAGTACGGTTAACATAGAACAATAGGCTTATTCTTTTCCTGAAGTGCGCTTCACATAGCGTTAAATACCGCTAAGATATTAGTTTTCCATAGGACTAGCTCGCGTTATAAGATATGCTCAAATGAAAACAATAAACGGCCTGCAGGCGGGCTGACAAGCATTAACTGTCACGTCTCGACTGTTTCGCAGCACGAAGCAAATTTAGTATATTGTTGTCATACGTAATGAATTGATAGCTTGCCACTTTCGGAGGAAAACGAGTATTATGCAAGAGCAATTTACCAAACATGATTATAACTTTGCGTCCAAAAATAAATTATCCCGGACTGGCTTATGCGGAAATACAAATCATATAAGGGTGGTTTGGCAATTTTGGAGTTAGGCTTGACTTGAAACACTACTTTGGTATGTGATCTCACTTAACGTGTATTAATTAACCCGATATAATCGCATATATACATACTCACAGAATTTAGTTCATAACACCAACTGAAGTCACTGAGATAACACAACCGCTGACATCACATACGAGAGTAGCAGCCTTGACACAGCGGTTTCAGTATGTGAATTATCGTAATACAGTATTCATATGTGAAGCATTATGAATTTTATAATTATATTATAAATCAGATGATAATAAAAAATATTAAGCAGGCTACTCAAATTTCTTGTTTTGGATGTGTAAAATCAAAATAAAAATGCGTCTGGAAGAAGAAAATTCACTTACTTTTCAGTTTCAAATAGCGAAAATAATGGCAGAACATACTTTGGTGATTTCAAAGCTTTAGATAGAATATAGATTGTGCTTTCCATCAGTACCGTATTCCTTCACTGTGGGCGATGACACTCCACTCTATGAAGCATGCATGTGTGACGACGACTCGCAAGATATGAAATAACAAGTATTTTCGTTACTCCCGTAGTATGTGAACCAAGATGGCGGGCCAGGTTAGGGTTAGGCCATAATTTCAGGTACTAATACTACGGGAGTCCGTTCGCTTGTCCCCGAACTCGTCGCATGCTACCGGAGCGCCGTAGTTTCGTCCCCGTCCATGTGCTTGCCCGTGTAAAACGGATACAACCGTCAAATCCAATATATATTTTGGCTTACAAGCACGCCAACACGGGAGACAATGTGACGCGCCAATGACAAAGACATAAGCAGCCTTTCTCCTAACATCTCATTCGTTATTAAACATTACTATTTGAGCTAGAAAAAATAACAGATATCTATTATTATACCGTAACCTGGACACCATAACCAGACATATTAGCATTGGATTTAAATTTCGCTTCTACCTATCGACTAACTTTGTAGTATTTGTTCGCCCCGTCGAAACAGACGTATGCAAGCAGAACGTTTAGTGAAATTAATGCTTTTGTATTTTAGAAGAAAGTTTAAAATTATCACCTATAAAGAGTCCACATTTCTGACTGGATTAATTTCGACTCCTTCTCCGGAGAGTCTGAAAATTCAACTATAGCTCTAGTGGAATAATGCTGAACTCTTGACCCCAGACTCAGAAGCCGTAGAAAATTTCTTGCAGCCGATTTTTGGATCAACAATACCTTTGTCCATCTTCAAGTCTGACATGGGCAAACTACAACCCTCGGGCCAAATACGGCCCGTTGGGTAATTCAATATGGCACACCTGGTGCTGCCACAACCAAATTTTAATGCTTTGGCTAAAAATAGATTGAGGAATTTGTTGAGATTGCGATTAAATTTAGTTTTGGCACGAGGGTCATTGTTTTCCCCTTTTGCTTTTATAACACTGTAAATATCGTTCATAAAATGTAACTTTTTACGTTACACTCATATGGCCCGCTGGTCTAGAAGGGCAAAATTTTTGGCCCTGGTCTAAAAACCTTGCACACCCCTGTAATCTAAGTACTTTATTGTCCTCAAGTACCAGTCAAATTTTGAATTTACTAATTTTAATTTTGTCAATTAAATACATAAAACACATATAAAGGCAAAACAGTGACGTTAGTTAAACATGGGGTCAAACAGGTTTATACAATTTACTCTTATCTGTACAAAACTGTTAAGTAACCATATATGGGCCAAACCTAACACAGATATAAATCTACAAGATATTAGTTTGGCCCATGATCGATCTGATATATTTGTGATTAAACAAACTGATAAAATTGGACATACTGCAAGAAAATTTTTTTCTCAATAAAGAGAAACTGCACTTATTCATAAAATAGTTTCGATAAAATCACTTGGTGCAGACAGACTTGATTTTATCAATAGCGTAAAAATCAATAACTTCTTAAAAAATTTCTATTTTTTTTTATCATTAAACTCCGCCCACAATACAAAATTTATATATATTCAGCTTTTTAACCAAAAGGTGAAACTGTTTGGAAGAAATTAGGAAAAGTATATTTTTGCTTTATAAACTCCGGTTACATTTTTTGGAATACAGGATGTATCAAAATAAATGAAACCAATTAATTTGATTTCCAATTTTGTGGGTTTTATTAATTTTGAAACACGCTTTACTATATTACCCAATATTGCCTTAAAGTAGCTTCTATTTCTTCGTCATATTTTCAAATCATTTTTTTCCGAAATTTTAAAATTCGCCTTTTCGTATCACTTTGCTTTGAAATATTCGCAATATCGTTTATTCAAACATTCGAGTAACATTAGAATTGGAAAAAATTGGTGGACATATACATACACGACAGAGAAGCATTGTCAATTTTCAGTGGTGAAATAAGCATACTGATCATTGTGAGGAAAATGGATTTTCTAAAGTCTCAGATAAAATATTATTGGTTTCAATCAGTTTCAAATTGCAAAACTTAGAAGATACAAATTCCATTTTGCTTGATTAATAATTTATTTACGAAACCAATAAAACTGGTTAAGTAAATGAATAGAGTTAGAAAACGTCATTAATTTAATATGTTTCCTACAAAAAACGACAACGAAATTTTTTACACACAAAATTGAAATAAAATGATTCACATACAAACTGTTCATAAAGAAAATACAGAAAAAATAATGGTAGTTATAATAAAATTTGGTCCTTTTTTAAATATATTTCCCAATGGCAAAATCCCTTAGATGGCTTGACAATCACAACTTTAATGATTAAGGGAGACATCTAGTGGTGTTCATCAAACTCAAGAATTATTTTTTTGCAGATTATAAATTACAAAACAATGCCTGACGAGAGTAATGAAAGAAAATCGAATCAGCATTCATATTTGTTATTGATAGACTGTAAGAGTAATACTACCTTTACATAAACTGATCTGCAACAAAAAAAATTCTGGGTTGTTTAACTATAAAACACTACATTGCCCATTTTTGCAAAAATTGACAATTTTTTCATCACTAAAATGCATAAAAAAAAGCTGTTAATCGCACAAAAATGTCAATGACTTTAATATTTCAAGCAAATGCAAGAGAGAGATAAACAGGGAAAAAAAAGCATGTCAAATGGAAAGTTATCATCATATCATTAAGCACGATTCCATGATAAACTTCCAAACACAAAAATTCAATTAAATTTTTTTTTAGATTACATAATTGTTTACTGATGTTTCTGCATAGCATAATTTACACACTACACAAAAACGACATAAAGTCTTGGGCGAGAATAAGAAGATCAGATGATGAACGCCGCCGGAGCGTATAGGCATGCGTATCTAACACATAATACATTATGAATTAGTATAAATTATTATTACGTTTTCATGTAATATCATATCTGTGTGACATCATAATAATAAATGCAAGGCACGTCATTATTTTGGGAACTTTCCAGGAATAATAACCTGCAAACTTGTTGACAAAAAATCTTTTTTTTTTCAGAAATTTGGAATGTACATAGTTATTTTCGATGTAAATTTGAACGAGTATAGAAATAGCCAACAAGAGAGAATATTTATGCAAAATCATATAATTAGATTGATATAAAAGTCAAGTTTTCACCACACAAAACTAAAACAGCAGACCTATCGAGGAATCGAGTCAGAAAATGCATTTCGCTTCAGAAGCGCTTTGAGCATCATTTCGAAAAGCGCTGTTAATTCTAAAATATAGTGACCTACTACAGAGTTTCTCAGTATATTTTAATCTGGCAGTTGTGATTTGAAACTCCATTTAATCCAGAACAAAGAGGCAGTTAAGCAATGCCTATTAAAGGAACAAAACCATATTATACAGATCTCATGTAAAGGGAAAGCATACAGCATCGATAATCCCCTAATAAAATCGTTCAGAAAGAAGATTATTTAATATATATATATATATATGCCGCAGATAGATCAGAGAGAAAAGGGGTCTACAATGATTATTTAGTAATATATAGCGAAATTGATATATGTAAAAGCGTAAAAAAATAAGGCAAAATCGCTGATGTCAGCTAAAAAGGCTCAATAGAGTGAATAATTGGTTCACGATCGGTGAATCACCACCCATGCATGTTTATCATATACTTATCTATATACCATGCATGGTTTATGATAATCTTTCTAAATGGTAACTTTCATGTGATATTGGGCTCGATCTTCTTGCCTTTATTAGTATTAGATTGCTCTTACGCGTACAGTAACATTTTTAAAAGTGAGAAAATTGTTCTCAAATGTTCAAAAATCATCGGCTTCTCTATAATTGGGTTCTGTTGCAGTGAAATAATCTTCAAGGAATCCCTGAAATGACAAAAATTTAGAGTTGAAAAAAAGAGAAATTCCGATAAATAACATTGATATAAAAATAGAACACAAATATCAATTCCATGATTTGTGCACAATCTCCGATACTCATGTAGTATGTGAACCAAAATGACAGACATCAGAACGAGGTATGTGTACCAGGTTAGGATTAGGCCATAATTTCAGGTACAAATACTAAGGGAGTCGAATCACTTGGCTGGCTAGTCCCCGAACTCTCAATATAACTAAAATAAGGAAAATTGGAATAAAATTATGGCCAAACTCTAACCTGGTACACATACTACGTTCCGGTGTTCGCCATCTTGGTTCACATACTACGAGAGCGCCCAATCTCCCTGGTCTTACTTAGAAAAGATCCGATATTCAATATTCAAAAATATTATTTCAGAATGTATTAGGAATAGCAGATTTGTCAATTGTGGCCATCCTTAATTCAGGGGTTCACGAAAAGCAGAACGTTAGGCAGACCGCTAAACAACCTGACAATACAGTTCATAAGAGGTTATCTCTAATCCACCTGCAAGTATTCAAAAGTTGGCCTCTGCATATCATCCTTATGCCAGCACTGCATCATAAGTTCGTATAAAGATTCTGGACATTGCTGAGGTCTCGGCATACGATATCCCCTGTCTACTTGTTCCAGTACTTCTCTGTTCATCATTCCTGAATAAAAGTAAGGAAAATTGAAAAAATGCTTCGTATGTGCTACAAACTCGAAGATTTGAGCTACCGCTACCTAGCACATAGTGCAAAATAACTTCAAACTGATCATAATAAAAGGGTGGATACAAAAAAAGCTCACACATACCTGGATATGGGATTCTACCCTTGGTAACGATTTCTGTAATTAAAATTCCAAAACTCCACACGTCCGATTTGATAGTGAAGCGTCCGTACAAAGCAGCCTCAGGTGCCGTCCATTTGATTGGGAACTTGGCACCTTGTCTCGCATTGTATTCATCATCTTCAATAAGACGAGCAAGACCAAAATCGGCAATCTTGCAAACTGCTTGTTTGCCGACGAGGACGTTAGCAGCACGTACATCACGATGGATGTAGTTCATGCGTTCGACGTAGGCCATTCCAGATGCAATCTAAACGCAAATATAATATGGAGGTAAAATTATATATATTCACTTGGCTATGGGATATTCACTTGGCTAACACAGACAGTCCCCGAACTCGTAATAAACTAAAATAGCGAAAATTGGAATAAAATCATGGCCTAACCTGGTACACATAATACGGGAGAACCTGATATTTTATAGGAGAAATTTCTCTAATCAAAACGAGCCCCAAGTCTTGGGGAAACCAAAGTTATTGATTTGACCCAAATATACGAACATTACTATTACCACATAGCTCATATTCATCGGTTCTCGAGCAGTTTCTCATGGACCACTGTTGGGTGACTGAAACATTCTGAGGTGAGTCACAGACTCATTAAAATTTGCTTGTTTTCATTTGTGTCAGCCTCGTTAATTTTGATTGTAGTACCAATAAATGATGATGCTGTTTTCTGCTACTGGGTGGTAATTTTTGATTTAATTATCAAAGTAAAAGTGTCAATTTTCACAGAAAAATTTTGTGTTTTCCTGTACTTTTTCCCTTGCATTAAAAAGTTGATGGGTCACAAAAGAAAAAAGATTGAGAACCTCTGCTCTAATGCATCAATGCAAGTGTACAATTACAACAAAGAAAAGAAACTATACCTGAGCTGCCATGTCTATCTGGTCTGGAAGTTTGCTCATCTTGCCATCTCCATCTTTCAAATAGTCAAGAAGACTTCCATTGCACATGAATTCAGTAACGATGTAAATTGGTTCTGCAGAGACCTAAATAAAGAGGAGATTTGAGACCATAATATTAGGATAACATCCATGATTATTTAAAGCATTTTTACCATACACTGTACAATTTAGCTACAAAGAGTTACATTAATCTTTAACATCCTTTAGGCTTCAAATTCTCATTTTTGAAGAAAACTTGCTTAAACCTATGGTCATGCGTACTCACTCAGAAATATGGAATAGGTACTATAGTTCCAAGGGCGCTCCAGAAGTATGTGTACCAATATCGAGGTAACTAAATTTGTTCGCCTATTTTATATCAAGTTTTGTAAAAGGCCTGAAACCTATGGGCAGGGGGTATATTCACTTGACTAACACAGACAGAATTGAGAGTTGGTGAATACCGATTGACTCAAGCAGATTATGTCAATATGATCATGAATGCAGCTTTTGCCATCAAAATTTGTCTAGAGAGTGTACACTGACATTGAACAGATGAGAGATCACAGCCAATTGAGTTTAAAGTCAATTGTTTTTGGAGTAACAGGTCCAAAAGTTTAAACGAAATTTACCTTACTGCAATTTACCAAAATATTACAATATATGCAACTTTTTAATCTAAGTCAAATGATCAAATGTTATCAAATGATTTAGATAAAGAGGTGTCATTAATCAAAAGTCTTGCCTTACGAGTAGCAATTAGGTTACATTGAATTAAAGCTGCAAGGAGTAGGTACAATACATGAACAACAATGTATATGACCAATACTTCCTGCTATTGTATTATACGTGGTCTCGGAATTTTAAACCTTGAATATCATAAGAAACTGGTCATTGGTTCATAACAATTTCGATAAATTACCCCCTCGCCTATTTCGGAACTATTATTTCCTCTCTCACTATGCATAAAAAGTAATTTATTTATTTAATCTCTAAAGTAATGTTACCTAGTGTTATGTGCATGTCGCACTCCGATTTTTGTGCATTTTAATTACCGGTAAGTCGTTTATAACGCGAGCAAGTATGATAGTAATAATATGGGGACTAAAGAATATTAGTACCACAAAGCAAAATCCCTCCCCAAGAACGACAAGATTCCGTTAGTAATTGTGAAGCTAGATATCGCAGAACAAAAAAACGAAAAGATGACATTTATATTCAGAGTTGAAAAACCAAGCAGGTAAATAAATAGTGCCAATGATTTGGCCTCTACAAAAAAATATTCAAATCGTTATTGGAGTTTTGTATTACAAATTTTCTGAATTGTGAACCATAAAATGCAAAATAATTTGAGAAAATTACCAATTTGGTCATTTATTTCATTGCTACATATTTTGTGACAACCTAGGGGCAGAGACATCAATATTGATCAAATACGTAATCAATACCTGCTTGTCACATCAACAGGGAAATGGTCTTTATAACCACGAGCCAAAGATGGACCATGCCTAACTCGCATAATCTCACATCGGTTATACTTGGTTTATTAAAAATCAATTTGCTCATGAATCTTCGGTCTATTTTCAAGGATGACGTCACAAAATCACGTCGCTGTGGCTGAATTTAATGATCGAAGCGTCATATAAATAAAACGACGTGCAGTTTACGACGGATCAATACTCTGTGCCGATGATATTTATAAAATAAAAAATTTTCCTTCAAATATTAATCAATCCGAATCAAAATAACCCAAATTTCCTGTTATACCATGATAAAAAAACGTTTGTCTATCAAAATTGCAATACATTGATGTAACGGAAATATATCCATCAAATTTAAACCAAGACTCAAACGAACCGCAAAGCTATATTTACTTGAAATTTTGAATTTTGTTTTCTAAATTTCAATGAATATTCAAATTTTGGTGCTCCAGAAATTGTTGTACCAATATGGAGGTAACTAATTTGTTCGCCTACTTTACATCAAGTTGTGTAAAGGGACCGAAACTTATGGGCAGGGATTATAATCACTTGGCTAACACAGACAGTCCCCGAACTCGTAACAGAAATAAAACAAGTAAAATCGAAATAAAATTATGGTCTAACCCTAACCTGGTGAACATACTACGGATGTACCCAAATTTTAAGATATTAGTAATACAAATCGACTTACCACTGCATAAAGGCTGACAAGTTTTTCATGACGAAGCATTTTCATTACTTTAGCTTCCTCAAGGAAAGCTTCTGGCGACATCGTGCCAGGTTTCAAAGTTTTGATCGCAACTTCAGTTGTGCCATTCCAAAGACCTATTGTTATGAAGAAATATTTCAATAAAAAAATCTACAAAATTGACTTTAAATTGTCTTATCAGGAACGTTTCAGCGACTCAAACAATAAATCTTCTTATGGAACAATAATTTGGTTATAAAAACAAAGTAGACTTACGGATCAACAAAACTTATTTTGTAGCGATATTGAAAATTGCTCTGCCCACATAAAATATAAATCTATATTCAAATCCATGTTTTAAATATCGTCAGAGAATTTTGATTATTACGATCAAATATTTAGCATAAGGTCTACATGTTCTTTATCATTAACTTTATACCAAATACGAAATTGGGAATAATAATTTAAAAAAATTTTTTTTGACGAATGGGATCATTGAATTCTACTTACAACAAAATACCATTGTAGCAATATTTTTTAACTAAAACAAAAATTTTAAAACACAAAAAATTTCCATAACATACATGCGATGGTTCTAACATAAAACGAAAACATGCATCTTTTAATACATAATAAAAGCAAGCACAATTGACATAATTAATTAACAAAACCAAAATCTCATAAAATTCGCCTTTTTGGAACTTTATTATTATTCTTGAAATTACTATTTTTTAGTCATTTTCTTCTTTGCGAAGTAAAATTTTCAACTTTATTTGAAACCAATTTTAAATTTAATTCAGATAAGATAACTTCCAAACCAATTTCACCTTCACAAGGTAAAACTAATATTTTGATAAACATTATAGGAACAAAATTTTGTATTACATCCTTTCTATTTATATTCCATAAATAATCTCAAATATTTTACAATTTTAGGAATATTTTATTCATGAATTTCCAGATGTAAGAGATACATGTGATACTACCTCTCCAAACTTCGCCAAACATGCCAGCTCCGAGCCTAACTTGTCGTTGTAAAGATTCTCGCGGAATTTCCCAAACATCTTTCGCCATCGAGAATGTTTGTGGTTTATCAAGCATTGGACAAGGCCGGACAAGTTTAGTACACAGTCCATCTTGTAGCGCTTAGATGATGAATGATAAAAAAAAGACAACACAACAGATAAATATTCGAGCAACGTGAAATGATCTTAAATCAAAGAAGAACAACATGCATGACATAGATATAAGCAGTGTTTTAAATCTATACAGATAAAATTTCGAAAATCATAGTTTTAAAGCAATTCGGCGAATTGGTAAAAAGTTTTGAAATTACTTGAGTGTTTCAAATTTATGATGTTAAAATTATTTTGAGGAAATAACTAATTTTAACACAGGTTATGTCAAAATAAGTATAATTTGAAGTACATTGCAAAATTAGGACGAACCAAAAAATAGAATAGTAATTTGAAAAAACAAAAAAAAATGCATCAAAGATAAAAAACACTGCTTAGAACAAAAACAATCAAGACAAACTTCCATTCATTTGACTATTTAACTTAATTCTATCAGATGAGAAACTCAATTGCAAGCAAAAGAATGCAACGAATCGCGGACAACACAAAAACAGGCCAACAAAGGTCAAATGTCGTTGTCACGACGACGAGCCAAACATGACCTTTCCAGACTTCGCCGAACATTCCTGCTCCGAGTTTCTTTTGAGCTTCGAGTTGTTCTCTGGGAATTTCCCAAACGTCTTTTGCGATGGTGATTGTTTGCGGCTTTTCAGCCATGGGGCATGCCTGGGTCAGGCGGCAACATAAGCCATCGGCCCCGTCTATACATTAAGTATAAAATATTAAGCAATGAACAATAGTCATAGCCATAATAATTAAAGTAAAAACTTCTTTCTTCCTATTTTCATGGACCTTTGAGATTTCAAAACCGACTTAAACTATGAGTCTTGCCAATGAAACTATCTTGAAACCAGAAAAGAGAGTCAAATTTACGACAAAAACTTTCTATATAACCTCAAAGTATGCCACACCCATTTATAAAAAGAATGGTGTATTTGTTTCTTATTAGTTCATATTATTAAAGTTCCTTTAAGGTTATTGTCTCACTCTTCAAAGATAATCTTAATTAAATGCCAGTGTGAATTACTTTGCGAAGTTGTTGGTGGTATTGGTGTTATGGTATAAAGTTCAGGCGATTTGAAAGTTAAAACCAAATATTGAATGAGTCGTTAGTGAGACATTCAGTTTCTGCCACCCAGCATGAAAGACAGATTGTGCATAATGTCACAGAAAGTTGACTCATTTGTGAGAATTGTATATCATTGCGAAAATGAAGATTGTGAGTAAGAACTACCTACGTATGAAAAAAGATCTGTGTAGCTCTCATGTTCACCTACCATTGTTATGAAATAAACCTAATAATAATATATTGTGACATCACTATTGGTAATTATATTGGCCATTTTGATGTCAAAATGTATGAATAATGCGATCTAATGCTTTGTTTGGTATATAAGCCAACTGAAGCAACTGCATCAAACTATGATATGAGAGTGTATTAATATCTTTATTGCCTTCATTAATGATTTACAAATTAGCACAGTTCTCAAACTAAGCGTTGCAAAAACATAAAAATATACATATATATAAAACTTTTTGTGGTAATTAAAGGTTAAAAGATACAAGTTTTATTTTAAATGTGTCATGATTTGTACAACAGAAAAAGGCAGCGTTGCGAGTTTAAGAAGTTTATTATGCACCTTTGTGCTGGTGAAATATACGAGTGTTCATGAAGTACAGTTAGGATTTCAATTTTGTTATGAAGTCAATTCTCAAATTCCTAACTGGGTTCGTTTATTTTAATTAGTGTTTGTTTAAATTTTTTACTCCATTTAATACAGCAATAGGGCAAACAAATTAAATTCCCTTTACAATTTGAAAATGTTGAGACTTTGTGAACACCTATATATATATATGTAAATATGAAAAACCTTTTGAAACACCGAGCACTTACGGTATTACGCAATCTTTTTAATATTTTCAAATGACAACATTTTGAGTTTCGATTAGATGATTTAACAAATACAAAGTTCATTTGAGATCAATAAATGTTAATTAATTTACGGTATTTGATGACGACTGTATTAAGTTAACCAGACATACGATTCACAGAAAGTCTTTTAATGGAGTTAAAGTGATGTACGTAGGGCTTACTTGGCCGTCGAATGAAATGCATATTTTTCTATTTATCTTCACGAAATTTAACACTCATTAATAGGTTGCATGATGGCTGACCAATGTCAATGACAGGTAATATTATCTTTGATCATTGATAGCAGGGATCTTCAAATTGGGGGTTTGGACCCAATGGAAAGGGCGCAATGGGGGTCGCAGAAAAAATTGTTTCCGACACTAACATATGCTAAAACAAAATATCGATCAAATTTGGAACTAGTATTAGGACCCAACATAACTGAAATAGATCTTTTGTGCAAGAATATGCAAGCACATCAGTCTCATTATTATTGGAAATGGAATTCCAAACGGATTATAGTAATATTAAATGGTTATTGGCGAGCTTTTGATAGGTAGATTCAACACTATGAGAATTTACCCATAAACGGAAAAAATTCAATACAAAGATCCACTCTCTCCGACCACCAGCAGTTTATCATTTTTTCGTTTGTTAGGGTTTCTCAAAAATGACTTACTTGCATAATGCTGGACAAGACTCTTGAGGCAGTCGAACTGTGCTCTTGCTGTGATATAGAATCCACCACTGTCAAGTTTTCTAATACGATAATGTTTAACATTCATTCCTTTGTGCGGATCTTCATCCAATATAGACAAAGAAAATGTCCCTAGAAACGTAAAAAAATATTTTTTAATAATTGTATTCTGAGACTCCTATAAAAGAAAAATCATACTGCATCACAGAATAACGGGAACATTTCAAACACCGACTCCATTGCCCCAATTCATCACAAAAAATTTAAATCCTATGATGAAATACCTTGAGCTGTTTCACTTTCTCGAATAAGATAAGTTCCTCTTAGATTTCCCTGGCTGTTCAATAGACGTTCAGAGTCTTTGCGTCCAATTTTGCCAAAGAACCAACTAAGTAATAAAACAGAAATCGTTTCGAAATAGAATTATATCGAAGTGGAGAACAGAGACATGCGAATATAAGAAAACAAATAAAATAATGAAAAAACAAGAAACAAAATACTATGTCATAACAAGCATATGAATATTGAACTAAAAATAACTGAGATATAATAATAATAAGATCGAAAATTCGAAAACATCGAGGATAAAAGAAATTTAAAGACAGCTAATTTAACTTTAAAGCATTATCAAATTTTTATATAAATATACCTTTATTCTTTGTTGAACACAACTAAATCAAACATTTTTAACACTACATATTCCAGACTATTTCTCCGAAATTTGTTCAGAATAGTAAATTATTTAGATTTATCCACTTCGTACAATAGAATTGGGTTTTGAGGTTTTGCAAATTACAAATAAATTTTTCAAAAAAAAAATGAACAAAATTAAAATAATATTCTCTTTCTTACTCTTCACATTGAACAGAATTTGCAGGAGCGATGTAATTGCTTGGAATGTAGCCTTCTTTTGAGTTGGCAAGGGACCTCGCTTTCCACCAATCTCCCTCACTTTATTAAAGTATATATTCATGCATGCAAAAATAAAAAATGAAAACAACATAAAATGATGAACAATATAACATGCATGATTTTTATGGAAATAAATTTTATTAAAAAAACTGCTAAATAAGTTGGACTTTTTTGATTTTCTATCATTATTGACGACGAGCCATTTTTTGATTTGGGTTTGAAAGCTGTTTTAGTTTTGATTTTAGGCAATGCCTTGTGTCCATTTTTACATTTGTTAGAACAGAACTATTAGTAAGATTGGATTATTCTAAAAACCGTAGAATGACACATAAGATTATTTCGTTCCACTGTGGTGGTATAGTCAATTGTTTTTGTTTTCATTTGCGAAGAATACCAGATTTAGGAAGGAATTGGAATTGAAGGAATTGAAAGAATACATTGTGATTGACGCTGTTACACTTACAACATGAATTTAATCTAAAAAAACAAAATGATAAATATGATCATATCATCACAAAATAAAAATATGGCAACAGTAAAACATCCATGCCGCGTTCATAAATGGATGTCTTACTCTTCTGCTTCTAATCCTCCAACTGGAGCTACATAGTTACTGGGAACAAAACCTTCTTTGTTGGTTTGGATTGACCTTGCATGCCACCAGTCTCCTTCACTATTTTTAGATTAAACAAATAGAGTTGAAGGGTTACGATATTCAAAAAAGGAGTATTTCTATTACGAGTTACATTTTGAACTTCAAATAGTTCATATCAAATAAAACTCAAGTTTCACATATTTTGATCCAGAGTTTTTAAATGTAAATTTGACATACCAGTAAATTTTGCATGCAAGAATGTAATACCTAAATATTGCCCTTGACTGCCTAACAAGTTGAATCATTGTCGCATTGCAACGTCTCGTATGACTAGCAATACTTTTTTCATTTTTCACTTACAGCACACATGAAATAGACAGTCTACACCAGTGTTCACTGAAAAGAAATTATGAGGGCGAAGGTACCTTGCAAAGGTGTTTTCACGAAAAAGTGGACTTATAGTGAACACTGTCTATACATGGATCAGGGGAGAAATTTTCAAGGGATAAAAGAGAGAACTCTATAGATTAGTAACATCTCTCAGATATACCCTAACATTATAATTCTAAACATTACACTTTGATACCGTAATCAAAATTATACATGACAGGAACAAGAAGGTCTTTTATATGTTGCATTTGGTCATATAATATACCTATATATCGGTGCCCTAAATACCACATACAATCAGTCAGTTATGAACAACAGAAGGTTATTATGTGGGTGTTAAAGATATGATATTTTCAGAATTGTACATGTCAACATAATTAACAATAAACGTCTTTAAATGAGCCATCCCACTATATATTCCAATTCTTTCAATTCAAATAGACAATGATATTTGAAATAAATACAATATTAATAAAGAATTATCTTCTGAGAAAGAATGAACTATTTGATGTGAATAAACTTTCTAAAATATTGTATTTCGAATGAATGTAAAATCAGAGAATTTAAAACATTTATTCTACTTAGAATTATTTTTTTTCAAATTTTTAACAGGAATTTTTTTATATCTTCATTTTGCAAAAGGCTTCAAATACGCAGCAACAGATACATGAGTTAATATTTCTAAAAAAAGCAGGACAATTCCGCTCGATGAAGTAAAACGAAACCTCCTAGCTTATTATTACCTTTCAGATCTGCAAGGTAAAATGAAGATTTCTAGTTCATAATTAACTCCAATTTGAATTAAAATTTTTATGACTTAACTCCCCTAGTATTATGGGGATTCGAAAACAAATCCAAGACTCGATTAGATAAAGAGAAATACATACGTGTTATTTAAAATAAGGAGATGATCCCCTTTCTTGAAAGTTAAATCATCTTCTGTTCTTGCATCGTAGTCATACAGAGCGACAAACCTGGTTGTCGAACCTGAACGTTAGATGGAAAAACACCAGTCATTCTCAGGCAGAAATTGCATAATCTCCATGAAGTTTCGATATTATGTGTACTTTATAAGAAAAAAATATTTTAAATTGCTACAAATGGTCTTACTATATATATATATATATTTATTTTGCAAAGTTTGAAAGTCCAAACCAATAGGGACCAAGTTGAAAAAAAATGATTTTATTGAATATAATCAACTGTTAGTTTTTATCAAACAATAGTTAAAAATTATCATATGTATATCAAATCTTTTTTTTCCATTGTCATGCAAGTATTTATTAAAATATTAATAAATGGAAGAAAAATTTTTGAACTATCTTTGCACCCTTTAAATTTGATATTAAAAATAATCAAATCATCAAATTCTTTTGAATATTAAATACAATTTTTCAAACAATAAAAATTAGTATTGTCAATTATTAGTAATCGTATTTTAAAGATTTTCTGCTAGAACAAAACTACGATCAAGAATCTATAGTTACAATTTAATTTATACTATACGTGGAGGTTTGACATTGTATTACAAAGACAAAATAGCATGCAAGAAAACCTACAAGCAGAAAAACTGGACACCAATGAAAAATAAAAAAAGCATGCACAAAGGTATATGAAATACACCAAGATGATAAATTACACTCAAATGACTAGCGGTTAATAACAGTATTGAATTGGGAATAAGATCAATAGTTAAATTACAATTGTTAGTTTAAAAACTGTTAATTGTAATTAAATTAAAAATTTGTTATTCAAATATGTAATAGCATAATCTATAGATGATATGCTTGGCGAGAAGAAAATAGGCTGCAATTATTTCCATATCATATTGTAAAGTTGGAACTCCAAAATCCTACCGAATTTTCTCACTCGCAGTCGCAATTATGGCAATTCAGCGTACTTACCAATTCAATAACATTGCTATGAAGGACAAGCACTCACTCACTCATGCACCGAAGCGGACAAATCAGGAAAGCCACTCAAACAAACAGTGATAAATACTAATAGAGATATTCGAATCATCTTTTAGAAAAATTAACATTGTTTGACATGATTTTGACTCTTTTACTTACTATTGGTATGAAAGACTGGACAAAATAGAGTTCAGCCAGAAACAATTTGGGGTATTACCTGCACCACTCACAACATGAGCGGGAGTAGTTGAGGGTTGAATAAATACCGGTTGAGAAGAAGACCGTGGATTATTAAACGTAATTGGTGGTTCAGATTGAGAACTATTTATGCAAAACAAGCACAGACAGACAGACAAACAAACAGAAAGACAGAGAGACAAAAGAAAAACAAGAAAGAGAAGTTAATAATGCACAGAAATCATGCTTTTCATTAGTGAAGCTAACACTATGCAGGTACTTGTGTGTTTCAGCGCCTATACCTGAAGTCTGTCCCGAGTTCATTGAAAGAGAGGGCTGATTAAACGGTTGACTATTGTAGCCCCCGCCCCCTCCAGGAGACATTGGACCCATGCTTGGAGACATTGAGGGGCCAGGAGCGCCGATGACAATCGGATTTGACCCAACATTGGGTTGGTATCGATTGCTGTAGTAAAATGATTTTGAGCTTTAATAACGGCCAAATTTTCACATAAGAACAGTATAATTTTACACATTAATTGTTCATGTGCATTTCTTTTAACTGCTGTCACTGAATAAGATTCCTTTTTCTTAAAATGGCTACATAAAACTGTCACTCCCTCTGGAATAATTCCATAATAAGATGATATACCAGAAAAATAAAAAAAAGGCAAATGAAAAAATAAATTTCAAACGAAGAGTCGAAAATTGAGTATCTGTCTTGAAGCATGTGCCATAGATGGTATATAACACTAAATAATGGCATGTACCATACTAGGCACATGCTTAATGGAACATAAATATATAACTGAAACAAGCATTAAATAAAATATGACACGGAAGCTCGCATGATATCATTATATCATGTTCGAACGGGAACACATGGACCAAATAAACCAGCAGAGCAGTTGTGAGAGAGACAGGATGGTCATTTTTACCTGCTTGACTCCCCGGACCTTGAAGATAATTGGGAGCGCCAGAACCCCGAATTTCGGAGTGCACTTGGCTTGTTGAATCAGGGTTACGACTACGATTTCGACTGTTTTCAGCTGTGTCCCTTGAGCTTCCGAGACAAAATATTGCTTTAAACTTGAACTTAGGCATAATGTATAAAACAACTTATAGCAAACAAAAATTTTGAAGCATTTTTACCTCTTTTATTATACATAAGTATACAGTAAACAAAATAAAATTTCCCTTCATGCTTTTCCATCTATTATCTCAAAATGAAAGATTAAACAACTTTCTGCATTCGCTGTAGCTCTGAAAATATTTTCTACCATCATCCAAGCAAAATCCATTGAAACAAATCAAATGAATACAGCAGAGAATGACATGGCATAGTCGATATGGGATCGACAATTTTACAATACCTTGTGGTTCTCGATAGGCATTCTGCTCTTGATTATATTGTGAGTTTTGCTGGTAACCCCCATTTGTGTTATTCGAAGCTGCGGGTGAATTCCGAAGGTTGTGTGACGTTGAACCTGAACTTGAACTGCTACTATCCTTTTTTCGGAATAAATTTTTCAGAAACTTTAACTTTGGCATTCTTGTCAAGTTATAATTTCGCTCCTCCAACAACTATTGTGGCCTCGTCCTCGCTATAGTCCTTTTATAAACTAACTTCACTATATCTGGATCTTAAAATCCCTATTAGAAAGTGAAAATATAATAAAAATACTTGAAAATAAATTGCTGATGTTATCAAACAATCATAGCAATAGTATTTATATCATGTATTTCCAAGGTACCAAAACAGTGTTCAGAAATGGCAAAAATCTGGCATATATCAATGTGAGATAATATTCACATTAGATCAAGCATGATCCATTAGTGATATCCCTTGTAACAACGAATATAGCTTATAAAATTCTTCTTCAAACATTTTTTTATTTAGTTCAGATCATTCTGTCATTACTAACAACATAACATGCAACTAATGAATCAGTTTGGCAGATTAAATAATCAGTAAAAGGATACCAAAATAAGAATAAACCCCAACACTGTGCGCTCTTAATCAATTTCCTATCATTACCCATTCCTAACCAGAGGAAAACAACATTCTAATACTGTAATACAGCAATACTAGACAAAACATATGGCTATTGATTCGATTCGAAAAAGGGCCCACATTAGCATGAAAATGTCGATCACTTTTAAATCATTTCTCAATTTTCAGTTTCTCTAGGTAACGTTATCATTAACTTTTATGTTTTTTTATATCAGCCTCTTATGCTAGCTTATCCGTCCAAGTCTGAAATATTATATCGACGGTCTAAATCGGTTATTGCATTTCGCATAAAACATGTTCCGCTGCCTAATAAGCAAGCTTATAACAGTCATCACGTATATTTAGCTAACCCGAAGTCAAAATTCAATCACTGACGTTAACGTGAGTGTGCGTAAGTAAGCACCACGCAATACTAAACATTACAGAAACAAGCAAGAGCATCAGCGCAAGAGACTCTGCACTGCAGTAAAGGAAACGACTAAATCTGACGTCATCTCGAAACGATAATTTGACACATACACCATTCCCAGTATAACGTATTATATTGAAACTGCCAGAAAGTTGAATACCTTGATAAGATACGTTAAATTTTGGAATTTTCGATATAAATATTTCTAGACAGTTCAAGGCGGGTGGCAAATTGGATTAAAGCGAAAAGTTCTGACATTGCAAAATTGTCCGGTGCAAATAATAACGCACAATATCATAGGCATATTACTTGAATTAATCGAGAGGCCATGGTTCGCCATATGACTAAGACGTCTTATCGGCACCCTTTCCCCGATATAAATCCTACCCAAACAAGGGTGAAGCATTTCCAATTATCACGAAACCAAGCCATCTAACTATAGCGTATCTTAAAACGGGCAAAGCTTCTTCAAGTCGCACGGAGACAGGCAGATACGATTACGAACATTAATTTGTTTTATTTTAGTGGCTTTCCTAGCTATTTGTAAATTTTTAATGTGTCACGAAAATTTTGGCACAAATCGAATAACCTAATGGTCATTTTGTCCTCTGAAGAGTTTTAGTTAAGTGCAGTAAATAAAGTTTTTCCAGGTGTCGAAGGAATCACCCGTTATGAAATATTATTGGTAGTTCGGAAGCCGTTTCCACTACACTTGCACAAAGGCTAGTTACTCTAGTCTAAAACTTCCTTTGTCTCGTTTTGAAGAAAACCTGGACCCGATTTCGAGGACGAACAGAATTAACGACTTATCCCAAATATGACAACCTTTCTGCAATATTTCGCTTCGTCTAAAACGTAGTCGCAGTTAGCCAAGGCGACTCGATTATTTGAAAGACCATATGGCATTTCAACGTAAAATGAATGGAATAGGAAACGGTGCATTCTGATTAAAAAATGTTCACCCGGAAAGCAACTAAAATGGACGATGTATCACATCAGAGATCTGTATTGTCTGCGGCAAATTTCGCTTCCTAGTAATAGTTCATGATGATCATATCACGAACCAATACTATGGTGCGGAATTCAAAACATCATTAGAACTTTTTTAACCCCGAAGTCTGCCAGAAATGTTGTGTCAAGTAACGAACATAATCACTATTTGTTCATATATTTAGTGAGAGTCAAAAATTTTGAACCTGTGAAGTATTTATTTATGTATTTTGTATTGGGTGGTAACAGACTCGGATAACCTTATCGGTCGTATCGTTACCAAAAACTCTGAATTCTTACTTTGTATATGATCGTTTTGTTTTTTGGTTTGACGAAAGCAATAAATTTTCTCTCTCTATTCAACTCGGCACAACAGTTAGAGGAACACATATAACCAAAAAATGAACGAGTATTATAGAAAATGGCGAAATCCTGCTTATGTGCATTTCCAATGTGCGTAAACATGAGGTTATAAAAGTATTCTAGGATTTATTAGTTGACGCAGACGAACAATAGCTCGCGCAAAAAGGTCAGTCAGCAATAGAAACAAGTTTCGTTCACTAAATCATATCACGAAATCAGTCATCTTCTGGCAAAATGAGGAACTAGGGTGAGTAAGAAAACTTCAGAGGCACGTATTCGGAAGGGCCCAATTTCATTCGTCTGAACTAAAGGATTACTCCCTAAGTTATCTTTTTTATATTATCTATCATTGAATTGAATATATACATTTGGAACATATTGTAAGGGTTACCTACGTATATGAGTCAACCTGTATAGACCATTGTGAAAGTAGCACAAGTCACGTGATTGAAACAATTGGAGCTCAGAATATATACATCGATGGACGGATCGGTTCCGACCAAGGCTGTTGCACGTCTAAGTGATACTCACAGCGACCTTCGCCGGTAATAATGATAAAGAAAAAGCGCATTGGTTTAACTGTATATTTTCAGAAATCAGGTTTACGTTGTCAATGTACATTGTTACTTAATTACGAAGATATTCCCCCGCGTATTTTCCCGTGTTAATAACAAGATTAGCGACAGAAATCACCAAATTTGCTCAATTTAAATAAATCTAATATTAGCAGCGATATAAGTTGTCTCCATGGCGCCATCTAACGGACGGACCAATTAGTACACGAGCACATGAATTGGACATCTATTGAGGCGCTATTGCCTCTATCGGCGACTCACGAAAAATCATGTACAAACATGAATATGTTCATGGGAAGACTGCCAAAGATCCCGCGTTTAAATACCTTTACGATCTATAAGCTAGCTCGGCGGAAAAAACATGGCTTAAATATTATATGAATTGTCCACAAACAATTAAGACACAATGGTATTATTATATAAAGATTTTTTCACGGCGAACAAACAGTCTAGCGGGGCCTGAGAACGATTTCGCAGGTAAATATAATAACGAAAGTAGTTTCCACCCGCACAGGCAGATAAGCACGGGACTCAAAGTGTAATAATCGTCTCTGTATTTCATTAATGTTCAACGAAATTCGTGCGCCTGTTTTCTTTTGCATGAAAAACGATATGACCACAGTTGTTAAGTGTTGCAAGTTTTCATTGCGCCATACTTGTTGACAATATAGTCAATCGAACCTATCTAGTCATCATTCTTGTTGGGTCACTTCCGCGTATCGTTCATGAAGCTCTGTTGTGTGACGTCACTGAATTCTGATGGCTGGCTGCGTGCTTAACTTCCTTCTGAGCCTGCCGTTTTTATATGCAGGAAAGTACCTACTATTAAGAATATGATTCTGCAAGCATAACTTATTTAATTTGCAGATTGTCGATAGTGAATTCATTTCTCTCTGGTATTATGTTATGAAGTATTTAAGTATATTAACGAATTTTTGTGCAATGTAAAATTTTTTTGCAAATGTGCAATGTGAAATACAAATTTGTGTTGTGAGTTTTCACATATTTGCGTATAATACAGCCATTCCTATTGTGTGATATGACTCAGAATATCAGATTTCTGACCTAAGAGAAACTGAAAATAAGCATTCTATATTGTTCAGAAATAGACACAA